ATGAGGGGGTAAATGTGATCAATAGTCTCCATAATGACATAGAGAAACAGTTTGTTTACAGACCGCATGTTGTTGTTCGTTGTTGCTTTTTATATACATTTATTCATAGACAGCTGTTTTTTTTCACCTACTTACATACAAATGTAATACTTTTGTGTTTTTCTTTTAAAATTTTACTTTTGAGTCACTGAAGTTTCCGCCTGCAGACACACACACATATATATAAAATAAATATGAACTGGTGGTCTGAGTTAAAAATAAAATCAATTTATTTATATAGCGTCAAATCACAACAACAGTTCCCCTTCAAGGGAACTCGAACTGCGTCGGTGACGACACTATAGGAACGCCTCTGGGCGTGGCAGGGCTGAACTATGAATGAAACTACTCCAATCCTATTGGTGTTACTAGAATGGTAGTGTGTGACGGCGTAACCGGAGGGGGTATATGAGCACGCTGGCACATAGGACACATTAGCTTCTTTCTATTCAGCAGGCACTCTGGCTATGTTTGGAAGCTCAATTATCCTACCTGAAGTCGAGAAGAAGCAGATCATGTTTAAGAGATTCCGACAGTGTGTCTTTCCATGTGAGCGTTTCATCACGGAGGGTGTGCTCATGCTCAGGCGGCTCTCGAGGGGGCTGCCTGCGACCATTGCGAGGCCCTGCCCCTGAGGGTGCTGAGGTCTCGAGCGGCTCTTTTCCTAGAGGATGGTCGGATGCGCTCCCCTCGTGGCACAGGCCCCGCGGTCGCTGAAGCGTCGCGGCGGCTCCGATCCTGGGGATCACAACGCGAGATCGCCGAGGTGGCGGAACGGCTGAGGCCTTTTTCCGGTCCTCGTCCGCAAAATCCTCCTCCCGTCTTCGGTTTCTCCCACTCGAGGGGTGAGTCCGGAGAGGCTGACACAATCTGGCTCTGAGGAGCTAGATATGCTTAGCATAGAGGAAACGGAACGTCATCAGCCCTCGCCGGGATACGAGGAGTTGTTAGAAGTGGTGACGTGGGCCGTGGCCAAGCTGCACATTGATTGGCCACAGGTGGTGCAGCAGCCATCGGTAGGCAGTAAACTAGATGAGCGGTTTCTGCAACACCCGCGTCGGCCCCTACCAACGAGTTGTGTAGATCGTGGAATAAACCCTTCTCTGCGCGGCTGTCTACGTCCCCCCGGCTGGACTACGGCAACGTGACAGAAATCAGACAGCACGGCTACGGGTGGCATCGCTCCTGGCTAGCTACCTCTCTCCCACCTCGCCTCATCCCTCCGGACGCTGGCGTTCCCCACCAAGCCGTGTCGGATGACGTCCGATTTGGTGGGCAAGGCCTACATGGCAGCGGGTCGAGCTGGTGCCAGCCTGCACACGATGGCTGTCTTGCAGGCATACCAAGCCGATCTCCTTCGGGACTGTGACGTAGGGGGAGGTCCCTTTGAGGAGGACCTGACGGAGGGGAAGAGGTCCTGAGACCTCGAGTAGGGGGTCCTGCGCACAGGAGTAGATGGCTACAGGCTACAGTTCCGGGTACGCCCCCCCAGATTCTGCGGGATGGTCGGGACTACAGTACACGCAGAACAGAGCCTGGTGTTGGGACAGGAAGTCCGCTCTCTGCTGAAGAAAGGGGCCATAGAACTAATTTCCCTGCCGGACAGAGAAGCCGGCTTCTATAGCCGATACTTCCTGGTTCCCAAGAAGGACGGAGGATTGCGTCCGATTTAGGTTCTGCGGTCCCTGAACCAATCTCTGAGGAGATTCAGGTTCAGGATGCTTACCATCCCAGCCATCATCAGTCACATCCAATCCGAGGATTGGTTTGACACGATAGATCTGCAAGACGCTTATTTCCACATCTCCATCCGTCCCTCTCACAGGAAGTTCCTGAGGTTCGCCTTCGGGGGCACGGCTTACCAGTATCGGGTTCTTCCGTTCGGCCTAGCACTAACTCCCCGCACGTTCACCAAATGCATGGATGCAGCTATGGCTCCGTTGAGGCTCCAGGGCATCCGCATACTGAACTAAATCGACGACTGGCTTGTCCTGGCCCAGTCTCGAGAGTTAGCGGTTTGGCATCAAGATGTCGTCCTCGCCCACCTTCAGCGTTTGGGGCTGCGGCTCAACGCGAAGAAGAGCGTGCTGAAACCCGCCCACCGGACCACGTTCCAAGGGGTGGTGTGGGACTCAATGACGATGCGGGCCCACCTGTCTCCCACACGCATCGAGTCCATTTTGTCCTCAGTAACCAGAGTGCAGTTAGGCCGCGGCATCACTGTAAAACAATTTCAGAGGGTGTTGGGTCTTCTGGCAGCAGCGTCCAGTATAATACCTTCCGGACTACTGCACATGAGAGCCCTGCAGTGGTGGCTAAAATCCAAGGGATTCTCCCCGAGGGGAAATCCGCTCCGTCTGATACGGGTTACGAGCGGATGCCTTCGTTCCCTGTCTGTATGGAGGAAATCTTGGTTCCTGTCCCAAGGTCCCGTGTTGGGAGCGATCTGTCGCCGAACAATTATTTCAACAGACGCCTCACTCACAGGATGGGCGCGGTCATGGACGGCTGCTTCGCGAGAGGCTCCTGGGAGGAGCATCATTTCTCTTGGTACATAAATTGCCTGGAAATTTTGGCGGTTTTCAGAACTCTGAGGAGTTTGCTGCCCACCCTCCGCGGTCGCCACATCCTTGTCAGAACCGACAATACGGCAGTGGTGGCCTATTTCTATCACCAGGGACCCGGAATCAAGGACCAGACCTGCTGTCGAGACAGGGGCTGAGGCCCGTTTTGGCCGCCACGAGTGTGGTTCTCGGATTTAATATCGAGACCTGCTGTCCCAGGCGGAGGGCCGGATCTTTCACCCGCACCCCACCCTGTGGCAGCTATGGGTCTGGCCCCTGAGGGGGCGCAGTTCAATAGAGGCGGGCCTGACGACAGGAGCAGTCGAGACGCTGCTCATCTCCAGAGCCCCGTCCACGAGAAGGATGTACGGCCTAAAGTGGAATGTGTTCACCACCTGGTCCAGAGAATGGGTGGTGGACCCAGTTACCTGCTCAGTAATTGTAATACTGGAGTTCATCCAGCACCGTTTCTCTGCCGGCCTCTCCCCGTCCACGCTCAAAGTGTATGTGGCTGCCATTGCAGCATTCCACGCCCCTCTGAGTGATGGGCCCTTGGAGAGGCTTCCTCTGGTCGTGCGCTTCCTCCATGGAGCCAAGAGGATGAGACCCGTGACTCGTTCCAGGGTTCCCACCTGGATCCCTGGAGTTGGCTGAGGCCAAGCACCTGACCCTTAAGATGACCTTTCTCCTCGCTATCACCTCTCTGAGGAGGGCGGGGGATCTCCAGGCACTTTCGGTTTCTCCCCGATGCCAGGAATTTGCCCCGGGGAGGGACAGGGCCATCCTGCACCCTTGTCCAGGTTATGTCCCTAAAGTTCCGGCCAGACTGGCAGGGTCCACGGTGCTGCAGGCGTTTCATCCCCCACCTCATGTGACGGCGGAGGACGGGAGACTTCATCTGCTCTGTATTTACACTCTGAGGTCTTCCCGGTGGAGGAAAGCAGACCAGTTGCTGGTGTGTTTAGAAGCGGGGAGCCCAGCTTGGGGACCCGAAACACATCAGCAACTGGATCGTTCAGACTATTTCCCTGGCCTATCAGGTGCGCGGTTTACCTTCACCTACGGCCATGAGGACGCACTCTACTCAAGGCATGGCGGCTTCTTGGCCCTCGTGCAGGGGTGTCACTCCAGGATTTGTGTGACGCGGCTGGCTGGGCCACCCCTCACACTTTTATCCGGTTTTACAGCCTGGACCTGCTTTCTGCACCCGGCACCTGTGCGCTCTTCTCCTAGTTGTGCCATCAGGTTCTGCACGCTGGGGGTAGGCGGGGTTTCGGCGTGGCCTAAGTGGTGATCTCGTTCCCATAGTGTCGTCACCGACGGGGAACGTCTCGGGTTATTTATGTAACCCTTGTTCCCCGAGAAGGGGAACTAGACACTGCGTCGGTCCGCCACACCTCAACCCGCCTGGAGTGCCTTGCTTCATAGAAAGGGGCTAATGTGTCCTATGTGCCGGCGTGCTTATATACCCCCTCCGGTTACGCCGTCACACACTACCGTTCTAGTAACACCAATAGGATTGGAGTAGTTTCATTCATAGTTCAGCCCTGCCACGCCCAGAGGTGTTCCCATAGTGTCGTCACCGACGCAGTTTGAGTTCTCCTTCTCGGGGAACAAGGGTTACATACGTAACCCGAGACGTTATCTCACAGCGCTTTTCATAAAAGAGCAGGTCTAGACTGTAAACTGTGATGTTATTTACAGAAGCCCAACAGTTCCCACCAAGAGCAGCACTAGGCGACAGAGGCGGAGGGGAGGAGGACGGGAGGAAGGAGGAGGAGGGGGAGGAGGAGGGTAGGAGGGGAGGAAGAAGGGGAGGAGGAGGGAGAGGATGGGGGGAGAATGAGGGGAGGAGGATGAGGGGAGGAGGGGAGGAAGAAGGGGAGGAGGAGGGAGAGGATGGGGGGAGAATGAGGGTAGGAGGAGGACGGAGGAGGATGAGGGTAGGAGGGGAGGAAGAAGGGGAGGAGGAGGGAGAGGATGGGGGGAGAATGAGGGTAGGAGGAGGACGGAGGAGGATGAGGGTAGGAGGGGAGGAGGAGGGGGGGAGGAGGGGGAGGAGGCTCCCAGAGGATGAAGACTGAACATGGAGCTCAGTGGGTGAGAGACAGATGGCTGAATGGTTCTTTTGGGTTTTCAGTAAACTGTTTCTGTTCTAACATCCAGGCCAATTAAAGCACTTTCTAATCGAGAGAGAGAAACTGAAACTAGTTTGGATCAAAGCTGAAACGTGATGAAGAGTCACGGACCGATAATCAGACCATTTAACGATCGTAATTAAGAGTCATTAATTGATTTTTAAAGTAAAATAAATTTTCACTGTGAAATATTTAAATTATTCAGAAACTCTTAAACTAAAGAGATACAAGGTTTTATTAGCAAGTCAGTAATCAATAATTCAAAGGTCCACTTAATAACTCAGGTGAGTTCACTTTATTGTTGTTTCTATATTTTGTCTGTATGATAATCTGAACCAGGGTTGTGGTCCCAGTTTTGGTCCTGGTCCTGGTCTGTAATGTATCTGACCTCAATATCTTACTGGGAGTAAACACCTCTCAGGACCTAAATAAACACACTGGGAGCTGTGGGACATAAATACCGTCCCGTTAGACCAGTCTGTCTGGGCATGCTTCTTCTCTGACACCTGACACCAGATGCCGGCCTCTCCACAAAAGAACCCGCCCCACCCTGCGCTGCCCCAGGGGCGGGGGAGGTGCCGGTCGCAGTGAATGAAGCGCTCCCTGTCAGGTCTGCTCGGGTTGTTGAAGCTGTGAAGGAGGGAGCGCTTGGTTCTAGGCTGAGCAGGCGACACACACAGAATTTAGAGGATAAAGGGGTTTGAGATTAAGCGCTCCTGTGGATCTGGGTGCGCTTGTTTAATGCCTCAGCACCTCCAGAGTTCACGCAGAGCAGTTGGTTAATGATTGAGGGTCAGCTGGTCACTTATTGACTGAAGAAGCTTTTTAACTGAAGTTTCAGAGACACAGTGAGACAGACTCAGCCAGAGTCTGCCGGGCGGACTCAGAGCCAGCAAGAGAAGATGTTTACTCTAGTCACCTTTACTTTGCTCAACTCTGCACTCTCTATTCTGTTTTCTTCACTCGGTGCTGTTGGACTGATTTAATTGATTCATCCTAAACTGGGCTACTCAGCTCCACCCAGCCGGCCGGTCTGCTGTCAGTGAAGGAGACTCCACCTGGATCCCTGGCCTGGAGGAGTAAACCTGCAGAGACACAGCTGTACATCAGATCCACCTCCAAACTTTAAGCCAACCAGCTGGACCAGCTTGACTAGCCTTCACATTTTGCGTCTGGAGAATCAAAGCAGAAGCAGCACACGAGGACGGTTCCTGTCAGCAAGACAGACTCTTTAACTGGTTTATTATCTGTGATCAGGACCAGGACCAGAGACCAGCACAGCGAGTCTGGTCCAGTCAGCAGCTGCAGTAGCAATGGTTGATGGGAAGCGGCAGAGCGGCGTGGTGTCACCTCCGGACGGAGGATGGGGCTGGGTGATCGTCGGCTGCTGCTTCATGATGACGGTCTGCACGCGAGCTGTGACCAGGTAACGCACGCACAGCGGCCACTTTATTAGGTACACCTGAACAATCTAATGCAGTCTACAAACTAAGATGGTAAACATAATGTCAGCACGATAGTTCACTGCTGTGTGTCAGTACAGCTGCAGATAAGCCCCGAAGTGTGAGGGAGTTTGTAAACAGGTCTGGCAGGTTGAAACAGATCCAGATTCTCAGCAACACGATCATCTCATAAAGACCTGCAGCAGGACATTCCTCTGTAACGTCTGATGTGAAGCAGTCAACACGTTGCAGCTCCGGTAACAGTCAGCCGGGCTATGAATAGTTAAAGTCAGAGAGAGAGAGAGGGCAGGTTTTACTGACAGAGAGTCTGTCAACACCACACACACACTAATACAGAGATACACACACTGATACACACTATTACACACACACAGGTTGTGAAACAGCTGATGATCAACAACGTCTTAAAGATCTTTCACTGCCGTCACAGCAGAAACTTTGAACACAAAGTCCTACACTCAGAACTCGACCTCAGTAACAGCACACAAGTACTAATAAGTACGTCAGTGATCAAACACAAAAGTTCTCATTATGCAGATTAGATCAATATATTTAGTTTAAAGCTGAAACAATGAGTCGCTCTGTTGATTGACAATAAAAGTATGTTTTTATGTAATATTTTATAACACCAAAGGATTCATTGAGAAAATAACTGGCAGATAAGTTGGTGTTGAAAATGATCGTTAGTTCTGTGCCTGTAAAATAAAACTATGCATTCAGGAGCTTAATGTATCCTCAGACATTTTTATAGACAAAAAGATTTATTAGACTTTCTATGTTCCACCTGTTCATCACAGTTCCTGTGGTGTGTGTCGCTGCAACATGTAGTTACACTTCTGGGGAGGTGCACATCAGGCTACTGCGTACGGTACGGTGTAGGGTACAGAGTGGGGTATGGCGGACAAATGAACCAGACATTAGCAACACTGCCTCCATGTTGGACTCTCCGTCCAAACAGAGATCAGCTCATTAGTCAAAGGTGCGAATTCATAAGTCGAGTTCGCCAAAGCTTGGATTTTATAATAATATAATAATAATAATCCTTATTTGTAGAGCACTTTTCAAAAACAAGTTACAAAGTGCTTTAACAAGTGTAAAGAATAATACAAAAAACAAGATAAGAGCATGAAAAATTAATATAAAATTAGTAAAATAGAATAAAATAAAAGGGATAAAATAAAGTCAAATAAGATCGGGAAAAGCTCTCCTATAAAAGTATGTTTTAAGAAGGGACTTAAAAGAGTTCACTGACTCAGCCGACCTGATTTCCTCGGGCAGGCTGTTCCAGAGCCTCGGGGCCCTGACAGCAAACGCTCTGTCCCCTTTAGTTTTCAGTCGAGACTCTGGAACAGACAACAGACCTCTGCCCGAGGATCTCAAGGTACGTGCTGGTGCGTATGGGACTAAAAGGTCAGAAATATAACAAGGCGAGAGGCCATGAAGAGCTTTAAAAGTGATCAATAGAATTTTAAAGTCAATTCTAAAACATACTGGGAGCCAGTGTAATGAAGCTAAAATAGGAGTAATGTGGTCATATTTCTTTGTTCTGGTTAAAAGCCTGGCAGCTGAGTTCTGGACAGTCTGGAGTCGATCAATAGATTTTTGGGTTAAACAGGTGAAAAGGCTGTTGCAATAATCCAGGCGTGATGAGATGAAGGCCTGTAAAATGGTCTCGGTGTCCTTAAAAGTTAACATAGATCGAATTTTTGCTATATTTCTAAGTTGATAAAAACATGATTGAACAAGCTTTGTGGTGTGCTGCTCGAAATTTAAATTACTATCAAACCAAACACCAAGGTTATAGCCCCCATCAGTGAGTTTGCTACAAAAGTTAGGCACTTCTGGTTCGAGGCTTCAGTTTGTCTTGAAGGGGGCGCCGGAGGGAAAGCTACATTACAGAACACGTCCTCTTCAGACTTGGCTCGACTGAAACACGTCACTTTGAGCTAATTGAAACACTGAGCTAGTGTGTGAAGCTCTGAAGGTCTCAGTATGAGACTCTGACACCTGAACAAAGTTACAGCTCCCTTTAATTTCATCAGCTAAGTTTATAAAAAATAAAATATGAACAGATGAGTTTAAATTAAATGAGAGCTTCAAAATCAGCAACTACAAAGAATCAATACAGCACGAGATCTACCACTGACAATCCATGCAATTATTTATAAAAATACACAACATTTTATATATTAGGGCCCGAGCACGAAACATGCGAGGACCCTGAAGGAATTCTTTTTGTTTCTTTCTTTCGTTCTGCAAATGAAGCACATTTTTGGCAGCCTAAACGTGCACGAAAACCTCACAAAATTCATGACGAAAATTTACGTGTCATAGGGTTTTCGTGCATGGTGGTGGCAAAATGGCTCGCTGGCGCCCCCTAAAGAGCACATTTTAACGCGATGTACAATGTTTTTGTGGCATGTGTATCATGTCCAGACCTACAAAAAAGCCTCTGGGAGTGATGCCCTAAACCCAACAGGAAGTCAGCCATTTTGAATAAAGGTCAGTTTTGGCGTTTTACAGGGTCCATAATTTAACAAACTCCTCCAACAGAATTAATCAGATTCAAGTTTCTAGCTATGCAATCTAAAGGAAATAACGAAAAGTTGTGCTATCTGTGAGGTTTTCTTCAAGGGTGTGTCCGTGGCGTTGAATATATATTATTCGCAATGAAACAGGATGTTGTTGTAACTTGTGTACATTAAAACCTCAGCAAGACGGCTGCAAGTCAGCCGCAGTCACTCAATGCCATAGCATCACCCACTGGCCACAGGAAGTAAGCCCTTAGTGACCAAAATCATTTGATTTACTTGGCATTTTCACAGCGTGAAACAGGCTTCATTTTCTGGGACCCAACATGTGATTAGCATTTTTGTCTAGCCCACCTGGGGGACACAGGAAGTGAGGTTTAACAACTTTGTGACCAGTTCAAAACGCATGATAATTCAGAGTCTCGTCTCCCCACCTACTGCGCTGCAGGCGTGTCACGGCATGAGGGCCCGTCCAATGCTGCTTGCAGCTTTTATTTGGTTCATTTTTTCATATCATGTACATAATTTGTACAAGTCGATGTTTTTCCTTACTTTTTCTAAAGATAATGTTTTGGGGAAAAGCGGTCAAGTTACTTTCTGTAGTTTTGTACAGGACGTCGCCAAGCTAACTTTTTCCCCCTGTTACCAGTATTTATGCTAAGCTAAGCTAACTGGCTGCAAGCTGTAGCTTCATATTTAGTGCACAAACATGAAAGTGGAGCTGAACATCTGGCTTTCAGAGAGGAAGAGGAGGATTTCACCACATGTTGAACTGTTTAAGTTTTAATGATGCAACTGGTTTGAAACCAGTTAGCAGGTATTAGGAGCTTAGGATGAACTTTGGGTTCAGGATTCATGAAAAGCTGCTGCAACGCGATGCAGAGCAGTCGTCCTCACGTTTCTCTTGTTAGTCGACATCAAACAGACTTCAGCGGAGTCGCTGGACGTGACCTTTGACCTCCTTCCTTCCTGCTGTGACCTTTGACAAACATTTCCTGTTCACAGTTTGCACTCCAGCCGCTCCTCTTCAAGCTCTCTCTGGTTCAGTCTGGGCTGGAAAAGTTACACAAAACTTCATTCATACAAAAACATGTGCTACTTGTGTGCAATTGTTATTTAACACTTGTGCACACTCCCACAATGCAATGCATAAAGCCGCTCACAGCTGGAAGATAACTAACACGAGACAGGAAGACGTGTTCTTACATAACTGAGACTTTTACACCCAGAACAGAAATCAGCTGAAACTGGACAGTCTGTCTGTACATGTACTCATTATATAACACACACACACACACACTGTGGGGGGGTGTACAGGGTCATTGAGGACGAGACACTCGTGAGATTATTTACTAAAAGCCCCACACGTGCAGTCGAACTGTACAACTCAGCCAGTAAACTCACATGTCGGCGTGCACGGCCGCTGTCCGCTAATTACTGTTATTATTAAGTATAATTATTACGTTCTGAAATCCTACAGTGAGTAAAAAGTACTAGGGGATTTTACTGATGTTCACAAGATCTGCCCAAGCGAACCACACTAAGTGGGAAACAAACTCTGGTGCGATTCAGCTGAATTGCGGTTGTCGCCTGCCGGCTTAAAAGCTCACTTGACTTTAAATACATTTTATTAAAAACGAGCATACGTCTGCTTTTACGAGAACGCAGTAACTGCAGCTTCCTCGGCCGCCACTTTCACAAGTTTGAAAAAATGTTCCACTACATAGCCGACATGGCGACTGTGGAGGAGACCATGACACTCAACTTTCTGACCGTTATAAGTGCGCCATCTGGGTACCCATAGTGCACTGCATGCTGCCATACTCCTCAGTGTGAACGCAATTACACACTCAAAGTAGTAAGAAGAGTCAGTCAAGGGCGCGAATTGTGGCTAAAGGAAAACATGTATAATAAAAGTCCCATGTATAATAAAAGTCCCAAACCCACAATTGTACGTAACTTGTTTTGGCGGTAACGTGACAGGTTGTAAAGTCTGTCCCATTAAACCGTTTCGGGCTCTTGCAGCCTCTCGCACTCAAACACTTACCAGGTGACGTCAGCTAAGTCTGTGGGGGTTCAGAGCAAAGGTCGGCATTGGTCCAGCAGAAAAGCAGGCAGGCTAGGAACAGATGAGCGCGTCCTCCCTCTGCCTTTACACACCTACCTGACCCTGCACTGACCTGCTGAGTGATGTTGATTCTTCTCTCACTGCTGATAGGAGACGATATCAGCTGTCTCAGGACACGCTGCTTCTTTCTGTTTTAAATAGTAATTGATCGGGAATCACTGAATGATCCGCGCTGTGTGTCTCTGCAGGTGTGTCTCCATCTTCTTTGTGGAGTTTCAAGGACATTTCGGAGCCGACTACTCTTCGACGGCCTGGATCCACAGCCTGGTGGACTGCACCACCATGCTCTGTGGTCAGTACTGACGCCGCACTGACAGATCAGCTGGGTCTGTCTTCAAACAGCTGACTGTGTTTCTGTGTGTGTGTGTAGCTCCTGTCGGCAGCCTGGTTGGTAACCGTTGGTCCTGCCGGGCGGCAGTGATGCTCGGTGGGCTCCTTTCCTCCTGCGGGCTCCTCATCAGCTCCTTCGCCACCAGCCTGGAGCTTCTCTACCTCTCCATGGGAGTCCTGACAGGTCATCACTTTATAAAAATATATCTGAGAACTGAGTGCTGGTTTTTTATGCAGATAGCGCCACTCTGTGGCCTTCAGTGAACATTTTAACTTATAATTCCTGAACTTTGAGACTTAGATGCTTTTCTTGTTGCTGCAACAACTTTCAAAATTTGTCTCCACGTACCCTAAAACACGTCTTAACTTTCTACAAATGTCCTCCTTTTCCAGGTCTGGGATTCGCTCTCTGTTACACTCCGTCCATCGCCATGGTTGGCTGTTACTTCCACCGGCGGAAGGCGTTGGCATACGGCCTCGCCATGTCGGGCAGCGGGATCGGCACCTTCATCTTGGCGCCGGCGGTGCAGGTGCTAATTGAGCTGTACTCGTGGAGGGGGGCGCTGCTCATCCTCAGTGCCTTCGTCGCCAACCTGTGCGTCTGTGGGGCGCTGCTCCGACCAATCACACTGCGGGAGGATGAGGCGGAGGGGGAGGGAGAGGAGGGGGAGTCAGTGGGGGAGGAGAGACTTGGTGAGGAGAAGCACTGTACAACACTACTTTACAATACAAATACACCCATGGTGCTACTAGTACTCCTGCTACTGTCACGTAGTACATCGCGGCAACAATGCTGCATGATTGGTTGATGGCAGTAGAACGGGCATCAGCTCTCCGAGAGATAAGCTCTCTCTGCAACTGTAGATTGTCCTCCTCATCCTCACCTCTCTGTCTCCTGCTGCAGGTATCATTTCGTCACAGGACGCCGAGCTTGCAATAAAACTGTCCAAAGAGGAGGACAGCCTCTTGTCATCAGGGAAGTTATCGTCGCCTTCATCCTTGCCACCGCTGCCCCTCCCCCTGCTGCCGGGAAACCCCACCACTCAGCTAAAGAAGAGGTGGTGCTTCAGCTCCTGCTTCCTGTCCAGTAAGGAGTACCGTTTCCTGCTGCTGCCAGACTTCCTGGGCCTGTCCGTGTCCTTCCTGTTCCTGGCCAGCGGCTGCAGCCTCCCGTTCGTCTACATGGTGCCCTACGCTCTGAGCGTCGGGGTCCGCCACCAGCAGGCCGCCTTTCTCATGTCCATCCTGGGAGTCATCGACATCGTGGGGAACATCACCTTCGGCTGGCTGACAGACAGGAGGTATGACTGCATATCGATGTGTTCCGAATGTGTCAGCAGATCAGAAAACTATTCAGTGCTTTATAAATATTCCTGCTGACAAACAGGAAGTCATGCTGCATTCCATTTACCTCAATATCAGTAGACAACATGTTTAACTGATGTATTTTGCACATAAGAATACCGTAACATGTCCACAATTATAAGATGGACAGTGTGTCCGACTTGAATTGAAAGCACATCAGTGTAAAGGTCAGAGAGCTGGACTGATGTGGTCTCTTCTGGCCTTGGTGAGATACAACAAACTTGTGGTTCTCTAAATGTTAAAACTGAGTCCAGGACTACACCAAGTCCTCTGGTCAGGATTGTGGTCTTTAACGTTAGCGAGTGGAGCTGAGCGCTGACTTTTAGAGTGCTTTTGCTTCTGTAGTTCGGTTCATTTGGTCCGTCTTTTCAGCCGTTTCAGTTCCTTTTCACACCCCACTGTTTGCTCAAAAATGCAGCAACACAAGTCACATCACTCTTTGGCAGATGCGTCTTTGAATGTAGCTTCTAAACTCTTCAATTTGTCAGAATAAACATGCTGGAAAGAAGTTGGTTTGTGAGATGCCATGGGGCTGTGTTGCTTAAGGGAAAACTGGCAACAAACACTTGGTTTGGTCTTCCAGTCGGTTCTGTCCAAGGTCTGATCACTCGGGAGAGGTCAGAATGGGCCGCTCCCGAGTTAGTTTGAAAGCATACCGAGACCTCCTTGAGGTGGTGTTGGTACGCTCACACCTGCCCAAACAAACCGCACCAAGAGGGAAACGAACTCCAGTGCGATTCATCCAAACTAAATGATTCAGGTGTAAAACCCTCTAAATCATTTTGCTTGGGCTCCACAGGAAATGTTGGCTCATCCAATCTCCATTTGCAGGAGACATTGTCACATAAATCTGTGTGTCGTCTGCATATTGACGGTGATTTAGTTCTGTAATCTGAGTTGGTGGTTTACCTGTCGACCTACATGTGTGCCCTCTTCTCGTGCACATATTTTGGGGGAGTGGCTTTGAAGAAAGACCTGGTTTCTCCAGCGCTTCCTTCCCCGGCTTTAATACATCGTTCAAAGATAAATTCAAATGTTTCTCATGTGTGAAGATTTTCTGCCTCGGACATTTGTTCCACTATTTTTACGATATTTTATAAACCAAGAGAGGAATTGATAATGTTAGCTGTAGCTATAAATGATTAAATGAAATGTAAACGTGTTGTTGTGTCTCGCAGGTGTCTGAAGCCGTACCGCCTGGCGTGCTACGTGTTCTCCGTTGGGATGGAGGGTCTCTGCTGCCTCTTCACGCCGTTGCTTCGTTCCTTCCCTCTCCTCGTGCCCTTTGCCGTCCTCTACGGTTACTTCGACGGCGCCTACGTGGCGCTGATCCCCGTGGTGACGTCAGACCTGGTGGGAGCTCCGTACCTGTCCTCGGCACTGGGTGTGGTCTACTTCCTCCATGCCATCCCCTACCTCATCAGCCCGCCAATCGGAGGTAAGAAACAGAAACAACCTTTAAATCACAGGATTAATGACCGAAGGCTAAAAACGTTGGTGTGTTCAAGGTGGTTTAGTGTTTCCTCTTGAATGTAGTGAAGTCAGGGTTTTGTAGATATTTCTAAATGTTGAATATTGAACATCTATTCTTTTTAAAGCTGAATCAATATCTTTCTTCCTTTTAGTTTTCCTCCCTCGTCAGCTGTTACTGACTGTCTCAGAACAAAAGCAGATAAAAACAGTTATTTTCTTAAAGTAAAGTTCCACTTTACTTAGCGTCAGAATCATGATTGCTTGGAAAGCTGGTGCAGATGATGATTTTGTGTAGAGCGGCAACGATTGGTCGATTAAATGTCAACTATTAAAGAAAAAATCTTCAAATTCTCTGATTTCAACTTCTCAAATGTGAATATTTTCTGGCTTCTTTACTTCTCTGTGACAGTAAACTGAATTTCTTTGGGTTGTGGCAAAATCTAAGACATTTGACAACAACACCTTTGGAAACACTGAATTCCCTGAATCTCCAGAACAGAACAGGTTGATATAAAACGTAATTATCTGTTAAGGTTGTTTTGGTTCAGTGGTGTTCAGATCCTTTACTTAGTAGGTAGTAAAAGTAGCAATACTACAATGTAAAAATACTACAAAGTCTTGTATTTATAAAGACCATACCAGAAGTTATGTCATGTCACGTTTCATATAGAGCAGGTCTAGACTGTACTCTTTGTAATATTATGTACAGCGGTGGTTCTAAACGTGGGGTCCGGGGACCCCCAGCGGTCCTTGAGGCGGCAAAAAGGGGAATAATTTATTTTCACTATTAATTTCATCCATAAGCAACATAATGAAAAAATGTTTGACTGTTTTGGTTTCATTCACTTTCTGTAGTAAAACATCTGAAAGCTAAAATCATATCAGGTCCTTGGTCTGATTTGTGTCAGTTTAGGGTCCTTGATGTCAAAAGAAAAGGTTTGAGAACCGCTGATTTAGAGACAACTTTTACTTTAGTAAGAGTACAACAGTGATACTTGAAGGGTGGTGTGTAAGTATTAAGGATATGGGCAGTAATGGAATATAATAATTTTGAGTTTTTCATTTGAGTTTAATCACCTGAAAATTATTCTTTTATATTATTGGATTATTTTTAGTTTATTAATACTTTTTATACTGGGTGATACTTTGATCTAAGACGGTGCGTCACAATGTTTAAACTGATGTTTGGATGATAGAGTGATGGGGGGGAACTTGTTTTTAGTTTACAGCTGATCTGAGGTCTGTTTACGGTTGGCTGTGAAGAACGCTGCTGTCAATAAATAAATAGATAAGAAAATATTACAGTATCGTGTGTTCTATCTGTTATCAATTTATTCCTTCAGCCTTGAACCCAACAGCTGCCTGAGGGAAGTGGTCAATATGGAAACTGACTGATCAGCAGGATGTGATGTAATGTTGTCAGAAGCAATGTGGAAATCCACAAGTAGCCAACAGAGTAAAAACAACAGCTTCCTGTTCACCTCCTTATATAACTCCTGCCAGGTCGCTGGGCAGGCGGCTGATTGGTCGATCGGTGTCGGCGTGTCGAGCTATTAGAAATAAGTAATCTCGTTTCTTCTTCTCCTCCTGCAGGTTGGCTGGTTGACGTCACAGGAAGTTACACGCCCACCTTCTTCCTCAGTGGCGCCGCCATGCTGGCCAGCTCGCTCGTCCTCGCCACCATCATCGGGATCCGCCACTGCCGCCGCCGCCTGGCCGTCATCAAGGACGCTAAGCACCAGCAACTCCCCCTCAGCCTGTCCAACCAATCAGACTGCTTCATCGCCTTCAACAAGGAGGTGGTCAGCAGCAGTGTTGCGTCGTAGCCTTAGAGGAAAGGACCAATCGTATTTATCAACACCAGAGAGACGTCTGGTGACGAGGGCTGTGATTGGCCGACATAGACGTCACACAGACACTTCATAGGAAGTAGATTTATTTAGAGACTGCTGAAGGCCAGCTGAGTGTCAACCCAGACACTGTGAACGACTTTTATTTTGTAGCCACGGGAACTCAACTTCCTGCCTCTTTTTGTTTGTTTTAAAGCCACATGCCGGTCACATGACCGCAATGGACACCTGGACGATCCGACGGGTTAAACAAAGAGACGGACGACAGGCAGACGCTAATGCGAGCAACAGGCTAACAGGCAGACGCTCGTCTTCTCAAACAGGAAATAACAAAAAAATGCAAATAGGAACTGTTTTTTGAGTCGCTGAACGCAGCTGTGTCATAAAGTAACAATATTAACTGTGGATTTAGGATGACGTTGCTCTTAAAGTGTTTTTATTCAGGGAATAAACAGTCGTTTATTAAACTTTAACGTTCGTTTGATGCCAAACAAAATGTGTCCATCTCAATAAATATGAAAAACACTTGCTGAATGAATTAGAGCTGAAAAACTTATCAGCAAATTATTTTCATAAGAAAATGTGCCAAAAATGTTCAAACTTCTAAATTGCTTCAGGAAACAGTCTTTGTCCGTTTGATCACTTTTGGCCTCTTTAAAACAAATTTATTATTAATTTGAGAGATTTTTCAAAATGTTTATCCTCTAATAAATAAAATACCTAAATGAAAACAAATAAAACAAACATATATAATATAAACGCACATTCAACACATTGAATACGCACAAAACATTTAACAGTTTGTTTGTATTTCACTTGATTCTTTGTTTTTATTGAGGTTATTTTAAATCTTTCAGGAATTTGTTTGCTATTTTTGAGTGAACAACAAAACATTTTGTACGTTAGTACAACATCTCGTCTGTAAGTCTGAGCAGTTTGAAGACAAAGTTTTATAAGTTTTACTTAGGCTCAGTGTATGAATGTGTGTGACTGGTGAATGCAGATGTAGTGTAAAAGCGCTTTGAGTGGTCGAAAAGACTAGAAAGGCGCTATACAAGTACGGAGCATTTACATTTACATTTATATTGTTTTTAGCTTGAAATGTATTTGCAACATGAGTTTTTGTTAATGAGAGAAATAATCTTTATGTTTTCAGCGAAGGTCTGAGGAACTGACAGAAAAATGTTGTGTAAAAATATGAAGCCACGCGACAAACATCTCAGGCTGGAATTTAGTTACTGTGAATTGTTAGAAATGTTAATGACGTTTTGAATGAGCTTTTCTTGCTTTCTCTCTATAGAGCAAGTAACTTCACAGCTGCCGTCTGTTTGGAGGAACGTTTAAATTTCTTAAACGCTTTAACTTAAGTCCTTATATAAGCAAGTCCCGCCATTCGGCAGCCATCTTGGTAAGGCCTCAGGTTATCTGGGACAGGATCAGGTCTCGATCTCTTCACTCGGACTTAAAACCTGCACGAATCAGCAGGAAAATCTAAAACAGTTTGATGACTTTGCCCTCATGGGATTCTCTGGGTTTGACTTCAGAAGGACGCTTTACACGTGGCGTTCGACGTCTCCTTCACGTGGAGCAACAGGCCGGTGCTGTCGCCTCGTGCTCGTCATGCCGGGTTCATCTGGTTTATCACTGAACTGGTTTATTTGCAGTCACGGGACCACACTAATGTAATATTTCAGGTCAGTGCTGTAGCGCAGTGCTTCCCCTCTCACGTGCTGCTGGAGGGGACTCTAGAGAGACTAACCGGGTGGATGAGGACTGGGGAAAGTCCCGTCCATGAAGGGACAGGATATGAACAGCAGCTGATCAATAGTCTGATCTATGGAAACTGAAAGTGTCGACTGCAGTTGTTTTTTTGTTTTGCCTCGTCATCGCAGCCTCAGCTGATTAATCGGTCACTAATCGATCCCTCCTGCACTTTTTTTCTTCCACTACATAATAAACCTGAGGAAGGTTCCACCAGGTTCTCTGAAGCTGTTCTACATTAGAATAATTAAATATTTCCCTCTCGACTTCAAACTGTTACAGAAGATTAGTTTTATTTTTTGTTTTTTTGTTGATCAATTAAAGGAACATTCTGTTAAAACATTTTTGTTTCCTGTTTTATTTTCTGTTTAAAGTATAAGTCTGGTTTAGGGCTGCAACTAACGACTAATTTGATAGCTTCGCATTTAGCTTTTAAATTAAACATGAGGTGCTAATTAACACTTCTTTCAAAAATACATCTTTTAATGAAATACAGTAAGAAATAAGTGCAGCGCTGTGCGAGCACTGATCATAGCAGCTTACACGCTGAGAGAAACTGACGCCATATTTATACAAAGACAGGAATAACGTCATGTGACACATCTGCAGAAGGGACCAATAATAACAATCTTCGTTATTAACAATCAGCGTTTCACAAAGTTTAGATAGTTTCCCCCAAACTCAACACCTCCCAAAACTCAGACGCGTCCCCAGGCTGTTTTCTCTCTTTAGAAAGTAAGAAATTGTCCGGTGTTGTTAAATCCTGCGCTCAACACATTCTCCAGCTGTAAACGTCGCCACGAGCGATACCTCCTTAATGATTGCAAAGTTAGGGCACATCTGGAACGTGAAAGTTGTGCATTATAATTATAAGTTGTTGCACCTCTATTCTGCTTTTATTGTGTGTTAGGTCTGTCTGAGGCTCTCAGCTCTGAGCCCATTGGTTCCTCCTGAAGCCGTATTTAAAAACGCCTCACACGTTTATAGATTCATGTTTAAACTGCAGGTAGGAAACCGCGGTCCAAACACCCGACGCAAAGATCCCGTTTGAGATACTGAAGTTTAGCTGGCAGCACATTTTCACCCTGGTGTTCTTCCAGATAATGTGTCAACAAACTGAAGGAATAAGAGAAAGAAATATAGAGATGCAAACCTCTCATCAGCAGCAAGAATCAGAAGGCCAGACTGAAATTTACAAAGAAGAACAGAGATAAAAAGTTCTGGAACACAATCTGATGGACGGATGAGACCGAGATTAATCTCTAGCAAAGTGATGGAGAAAGAAAGGAACTGCTGATGATCCGAAGCATCCAAGCTCATCTGTGAAGCAAGCAAACAAGAAGTGAAAGAAGCTGCAGTAAAAACCTGGAACAGCATCACAAATGAAGAATGCAGCAGTTTGGTGATGTCGATGTGTCGCAGGCTTCAGGCAGTTATAGCAAGAGAGGGTTCTGCCACCAAATATTAAATGTTATCTACTTTAAGATTATTTGTTCCGTTACTTTTGCTCACCTCAGAACGCTGTGGTCTAATACAAACGGTGGTTTGTCCTGAGATATTTAACACATCTAGATGTGAATAACAGGAAATGAGAGCTGAAATTCTCTCTTTTGATCTTAAACCCAAATGTCTTCAGTGAACAACAAAAAGAAAGAAATTACCGCTGCGCTACTTTTGGTTAACTTGCACTGTGCAAAAATGTATTTACATATTACCTGTTTGTAAAGGATTAACACATCACAGGCGTGATAATCAACATATGTAACATCTTTAATTGTTTATTTTGCTAGGCTTTTACTTTGAAGGCCCAGACAAACGTCTGCGCTTCCTTCACCAGCTGGTTCTTGTTTTATTGAATCTGAGGACAGTTTGTGGTGTTTGGATCTTCTCAGCCACCGTAGAAACGTTTCCTAGCAGTAAAGTAAAGCAGACGAGTGTTTCATTAGACAAAGGATCATTTTTATTTTCCATAAATCAATCGATTGTTGTCTCAACTCTTTATTGATCCCCAGCGATGAAAAACAAAGTACTGAACTAAAAATCAGACAGAAATACAAACTGTACAGATATTTCAACTCAAACCCTCAGAACCACTGACGGTTTGACAGAAATCTGAGGTTTAGTGTTGTCACATGATGGTGATGATGTCACTTCCTGCAGGTCTTGGACCGCAGCTGCCTCTTAATGATCAGGTGATCGCTCTCCTTCTCCTCCTCAGCTCCTCCGGACATCTGAAACAAAACTACACATTAAACTACAAAATAAAAGCATAGTGCGGATTTGAGTGCGAGCTTGAACTGAGAGATTGTGTATTTAAGCAATTATATGATTAGTTATAGTTTAGATTAGTAGTAGAAACAATATTTAGTTCAACATCCCTAACCCTAAGGGGAGGGTCCCATTTAATATTTGCTCGTCACCTTTAGATAGTTTATACCGTTCATCTCTGACATGAAACACTTCGCTTTACGATCTGCAACATGCAATGATTTGCTGACCTTATTACACATGTATTTTGCCTATGGATATTTAGCTCTGTGGCCCTCGCACTCCAGGTCTGCAACCCCGACAGGCCCTCAGAAAGAACACGCTAACCGTCTCACCATGTGTGGAGAGTCTAGCAGGGCATCCGAGGCGTCCTGCTTGTAAAGCTTCTTCCGTCCTCGTCTCGGTTTGGTTGCTGTGGTAACCGTCTCCTTCTCAACCGAATGTCCACTGACCAGACTGATGATATTTTTAGCTGCAGAGGGACAGAAGAAGAATTATTGAAATAAATAATTATCTACTCGGATCATGAACCGTAAAAAATCAACTTTTAAATTTAGCAGAAATCTGTCCTGCCATCGACCAAACAGGTAAATACAGAACGAACAGCAGGTCAGCTGCTCAGTTAACATCATTTGTCTAGTGACAGAGCAGCTCACTGCTGCAACACTCCGGGACAGACTGACACTGTATTGCCCCAGGTTGCCCAAACGTGCCGTCCCCCAGGTTGCCTAAACGAGCCCCAGGTTGCCCAAACGTGCCGTCCCCCAGGTTGCCTAAACGTGCCGTCCCCCAGGTTGCCTAAACGTGCCGTCCCCCAAACGAGCCCCAGGTTGCCTAAACGAGCCGTCCCCCAGGTTGCCCAAACGTGCCGTGCCCCATGTTGCCTAAACGAGCCCCATGATGCCTAAACGTGCCGTTCCCCAAACGAGCCCCAGGTTGCCTAAACGTGCCGTCCCCCAAACGAGCCCCAGGTTGCCTAAACGTGCCGTCCCCCAGGTTGCCTAAACGTGCCGTCCCCCAAACGAGCCCCAGGTTGCCTAAACGTGCCGTCCCCCAAACGAGCCCCAGGTTGCCTAAACGTGCCGTCCCCCAGGTTGCCTAAACGAGCCCCAGGTTGCCCAAACGTGCCGTCCCCCAGGTTGCCCAAACGTGCCGCCCCCCAGGTTGCCCAAACGTGCCGCCCCCCAGGTTGCCCAAACGTGCCGCCCCCCAGGTTGCCTAAACGTGCCGTCCCCCAGGTTGCCCAAACGTGCCGTCCCCCAGGTTGCCTAAACGTGCCGCCCCCCAGGTTGCCTAAACGTGCCGCCCCCCAGGTTGCCTAAACGTGCCGTCCCCCAGGTTGCCTAAACGTGCCGCCCCCCAGGTTGCCTAAACGTGCCGTCCCCCAGGTTGCCCAAACGAGCCCCAGGTTGCCCAAACGTGCCGTCCCCCAGGTTGCCCAAACGTGCCCCATGATGCCTAAACGAGCCGTCCCCCAAAAGAGCCCCAGGTTGCCTAAACGAGCCGTCCCCCAAAAGAGCCCCAGGTTGCCTAAACGAGCCGTCCCCCAAAAGAGCCCCAGGTTGCCTAAACGAGCCGTCCCCCAGGTTGCCCAAACGTGCCGTCCCCCAGGTTGCCTAAACGAGCCCCATGATGCCTAAACGTGCCGTCCCCAAAAGAGCCCCAGGTTGCCTAAACGAGCCGTCCCCCAAAAGAGCCCCAGGTTGCCTAAACGAGCCGTCCCCCAAAAGAGCCCCAGGTTGCCTAAACGAGCCGTCCCCCAGGTTGCCCAAACGTGCCGTGCCCCATGTTGCCTAAACGAGCCCCATGATGCCTAAACGTGCCGTCCCCCAAACGAGCCCCAGGTTGCCTAAACGTGCCGTCCCCCAAACGAGCCCCAGGTTGCCTAAACGTGCCGTCCCCCAAACGAGCCCCAGGTTGCCTAAACGTGCCGTCCCCCAAAAGAGCCCCAGGTTGCCTAAACGAGCCGTCCCCCAGGTTGCCCAAACGTGCCGTGCCCCATGTTGCCTAAACGAGCCATCCCCCAGGTTGCCTAAACGAGCCATCCCCCAGGTTGCCTAAACGTGCCGTGCCCCATGTTGCCTAAACGAGCCCCATGTTGCCTAAACGAGCCCCAGGTTGCCTAAACGTGCCGTTCCCCAAACGAGCCCCAGGTTGCCTAAACGAGCCCCATGTGCCCCAGGTTGCCTAAACGAGTCCCAGGTTGCCTAAACGAGCCCCATGTGCCCCAGGTTGCCTAAACGAGCCCCAGGTTGCCTAAACGAGCCCCATGAACAAGCTCAAACTGAACTTCAGTGTTTGAATGGAGAAGCGTTCAGGCTGGAGTTTTCTATATGAATTTAAAGTCGCACTGACCTTTGCTGCCCAGGATGGACGGAGACTTGGTGATCAACTCTCTGATGTTCTGAAGAGCCGCGTCTCTCTTCTCCTTTACCACAGAAGAAGAGTGGAGACACAGAGACATGTGACCACACATGTGACAGAGGAGGTGAAAAACCTTCAGGTGTGTTTGATTTCTCACCTGTTTGTTGTTTCGAGCGTTTCCTCTCACCCGGTTTCTCTTGTTCTCGCTGGACACCAGGCCCTGAAACACAGACACACGTCGGGGTTTCATTGAGGACTAACTGATATCAGGTGAGATCAGTGTAAAAGTGATCCTCACACACCTCCACCTCGCAGCTCTTCCTCTTCCTCCCTGTAGTTCTGGGGGTTTTCTTCCGGTCGGCCATGTTGGACCTCAGAGGAGAGTCGTGAACGTCCTGCTGTGGGCAGACAGGTCAAAGGTCAAAGGTGTCACAGCCACCAAATTAACTGACCTTTTCATAGTAGGTTCATACTTGTGATCATCAGTTAATATAATTTATGAACAACACATTTTCTCCAGTGTCTCAGATCTCAGTAAACAACAATCGTTGAATACCGTCAGTACACCGTGTACTGACTCGGTAGTGTCGTCTCGAGACCAGCTGATGAGCTAATCGGCATCTGCGTTTATAACAGATACGTGACCACTGATAAAGAAACAGACCGACAACCTTCCCTCTTTTAATGAGGGTTGAATAGTTTGCCCACCAGAGGGTGCTGTGCAGCTCCTCTGTTAACAACACCGCCTCACCACAGAAGAAAACAACCAGCTGACCGCAGTCTACCTGAGGAGGTAGAAACGCGGTGAGTCGGCCTTTTGTCACTTAAATAATTATAATAAAATCAGCCCCATCACTTCTCCTCTCCTGAAAACCTTCAGGACTTGCAAACCCTCCGGTGTTTCACCGCCCTCTCCCGGCTCACAGCAGTTTAATGTTACGCTAGTTGGGTGTTGAAAGCTTTGCGTGATAGATTTATTTCTGAAACAGTGCGGCAGTTTGAGCAAACGCTCCCCCATTTCTCTTTTTCAAATCACGTACAGCAGCTAATGCTGCCCGTCGCTACATTAGCCACAAAGCTAATGCCGTGTGGAGACAGCGGAGGAGCGCTAACGTTAATGAGCCGTTAGTTTGTAGTTATGGTCTGCGCGCCTGAAATGATTAAACCAGAGCGGCCGTGTAAATAAACGTGAGCTGAAAGAATCTAACACGGCTTCCTGTAGCTCCTCTTTGTGTGACTTTATAGATGTGAATAAACCACAGACTTTATATAAGAAGTGGGCGTGGTCATTGTGACGTCACCCGTTGGTTTGTGGACTGCGGTTTTAAAGCCTCGAGTTTGGCCTATTCGGCGCCGCCATGTTGATTTTTTGCAACGAGGAACATTTTTCAACTCTCGGGGACAGAAAAAATAAAATAAAAATGCTCAGCGCCTCATCACGCTGCTGGCGTTATTACCATGTTGTAAAAACGTGGCGCTCCCATTTGAAAGAATTTAAAATAAAAACGCTTTGGTGGACACGGGTCTTAGCGAACCGTCCGGATTCGCACTCTCAGAACAGGGTCCAGAGGAACGTGTCACGTTTTAATGCCTTTGTTCATCAAATCAACAGAGAAATAAAGAAACTCTCTAAAATGGCGTTCGAGTTAAAGCTCAGTAATAGTAAAATGAAGTCGGGTCTGTGACCTCAGCCCACCTGCAGGTTTCTCTCTCTCTCCTCCTTCAGTCTCTCCAGCTCTCTGTGTACAGCATCAACTCCCTGCTCCTCCTCCCCACCGCCGCCTCCTCCTGCTTCAGCTGTCTCCCTCTCTTCCTCTCCTGGAGTCTCTGGAGCTCCTCCTTCAGCTCCTCCACCACCGACACCTTCTCCTCCTCCTCCTGTCTGTTCTCCTTCTCCTCCTCCTCCCTCCCCTGCAGCTCTTCCTGCAGACGCTCCAGCTCTGACGAGGAGGAAACAAAGACTTCAGTTTCAGCCGGTCAGCTTCATGTTCTCGCCGTTTCAGGGGATGAAGATACCTTTTCTCAGCGTCTCCGTCTGCCGCTGGCTTTCTTCTATCAGTCTGTCCTTCTCCGACGCGACTCGCTGCAGCTCTGAGACAAACACAGGTCGTCCATCGTGAACACATCACAGGTTTTTATCCGCCCTCTCCCCAACTCTTCTTCTGATCTCCATCTTCTCACCTTCCTTCTCCGTCTCCTGGTCTCTCTTCTGCTCCTCCAGTCTCCCTCGCAGAGCTCCGCCCTCAGACTCAAGCTCCGCCCTCAGGCTCTGGAGCTGACGCGAGGATTCTGCCTTCTGATTGGCTAACTCCCCCCTGAGCTCGACACACCTGTTCTCACTTCAGAGGGAAGGACAACATGTGTTGACGGTGAACCAGCTGCTGTTTGCGGATCAGTAAATCAGTATTGAGAAGCTGCCCACCTGTGAGACAGAGTCTCCTCCAGCTGCATCTTTTCTCTCTGCAGATCTTGGATCTGTTGGGATTTCTGAGCCGACCTCTCCAGCGCTGCCAGGCCCTCCTTCTTCAGCTCCTCTATGGTGGCGTGGAAAACACTGCTGCTGCTGCTCTGTCCCGCCTCTCCCTCCTGAATCAACCAGTCAGTCAATCATCCACTAACACTGCTGCTCATGTTGTTTTTCAGCCGGCGTGTTCAGACGCTCAGCCCGCATGAGTCCAGCTGATCTGTCCTACTTCACAGTGATAAACAGACTAGCTTCATTAACAACAGATCGATCAAAGACAACAGAGCGGCAACAACCTTGAGTTCACGTCTCAGACGCTCCACTTCTTGTGTCAGACTGCTGATGGTGTTGGCCTTCTCCTCCGATTGGCTCTCCAGGTCCTGGAGGCGGGCCTTTGCAGTGCTGAGCTGCTCTGATAGGCTGTCACACCTGTCAGTCTGCTCTTTGAGCTGCGCCTGGAGACTCGTCATCTGGAAACAGAACAGTTTTAGCATGTTTCAGGTGCAGACGGGCGAATGAATGAATGAATGAGAGTTCATGACGGGTACGAGGTTCAGTTTGTGTTTGAGACGTGTTAACTGCAGGGCCGCCGTTAGCTGGGCGTACCTAATAAAGTGGCCACTGAGTGTTCGTGTAGCAGTACCTCTGTCTGCAGCTGGAAGATGCCGTTAACCAGAGCTTTGTTCTCCTTCGTCAGTCTGGATGTTTCCCTCTGCTCCGACTCCAGAGACGAAAACACAGACGCACAGTTTGGACACTGGTCCAGATCTACGGGGGGCAAACAGAGTCGTTACAGAGCTGAAGATCCGTCCCCGTGTGGTCGTTCCACCGGGTGTCCACAGACCGTTGGCCCTGCAGCGTCTTCCCCTTTAACCTCTAACATTCCTGCAAAACGCCTCTTCAAGGCAGATCCAGAGTAAACTGAATGTAGTTCTTGAACCATCTGGAGTCTCTGCCTGGTTTCTCTGAAAGAGACACTCTGGAGAGTCTGACCCAAAAGTCTGAATGACTGTAAGAACTACTGCAACTGATTAATACAAGTTTAAACTATAGATTTTTCATTTCCGCTTGAAAATGTTTGCTAACAAATGCCTGCAGACAGCTACAGCTGGGAAACACTGCAGGGCCGCAGCAGAAAGCCTAGAACAGGTTTACATTTCATACCAACACCATGAACAATGACTGTTGTCCACAGGTTTTTCTGATTGTCTGTCCCAGCGTATTTTTTCTAAAGCAGCCCCGCCGCTTTTCGCTGGTAGATCATGAACTTCCTACTTAAAGCTGGATATCGTTATTGTCAGAATCTTATTGGCTACAGGAAGCGCCGTCATCGGCACAGCTGGTTGCAATTGGCTCGTCCTACCCAGGAAATAACAGGGGCCGGCCCTTCCTCACAGCGCGGGCTCTCATTGGCTGCTGTAGGCTGTGAAAGGGACATGTGACCTACTATTGGGTCGGACCAGCTGTCAATCGAAAGGTCAGAGTTCAGCGGCTAATCTGACTACAAGCTGTCGTAGTTGTTTACATTCAAATCAGAGTTATTGCGGTTATGACGACGCACGAGCTGCGTCTGCCGGTGAATCTGAAGCGATGCGGCAGCCCCGAGGATTTACTGATGGAATCATGTGTTTTGGACTAAATGTTTTTACTGGATTGGATCGTCTGGACCTTTGACAGAGTAACAACGTTTCTGTTGGAATATAATCGATCGGTGGATTAAGTTACTGTGAGGCTTCACAGGTGAGTCGCGTCACTTTTGTTTGTGCTGGCTGGTCTGACAGAGGCGCCGATTGGACCCGCTGTGGTGATCGTATCTTGAAATGGTCGGTCGAATCACCAGGATTTTAGCTTTCAGACGGTGGATCTTATGACCCGACGGGCCGCTGGAATGTTAAGAGGTTAACGAAAAGAAGAAGCCTGACAGAATCTGCCACGTGCTCTACGCCGTACTAACCCCACCTCCCCAGAAATGTAACTACGCAACGCAGACCATAAGAACTGTGAGTGGTCGGCTTGGTAGCATCAGTTCCTCCGAGCTTTGAAGCCAGTTTTACCAACGGCTGTAAAACGGTGGATCTGACTCGTCTCACTATCAGAGTTCGATCCATTCGCTCGATAACACGCACAGTTTCAAGTTAGCGGAGGGCTAAACAGGAAGTTAGCCCGTCAGAAGTCAACACAGTGGACGCTAAAATGCCAACTACACCCCCCCTACTCTATGTATATAGTATAGTTATGTGGCCACGTGCGCATGTTCTGCTGTCGGCTATGGCGTAGACTGCACAGAACAAATCAGGCTGTGAAGGAGCCCTATCATACTGCACTGTCTTCTGATTGGCCAAGACCCTGAAGCGTGTTTACCAGCTGATCCAGCCTTGTTTGGCGTTTTCTTCTTTAGGAAAACCAGACAAGCTGAATTTGCCTTCACACCTGAAAAAGCTCTTTCCTGGCGACATATTGAACATCGATGTTCTGCTTCTGGAGCACATGACCACATACAGAAAACTCTTGGAACCAATCAGAACAGGGGAAATCTGAGGTTCTTTAAATCCGCCGACCTCCTGATTTTAAGCCTCGGCCACATCCGACAGTAACATGAGGACTCCTTTGAAGGTTCAGCTCCTACCCGTCAGCTTCTGCACGTTCTGCTCCAGCAGGAGCTGCTCCTTCTTCAGCTCCTCCACCTCCTCCTCCCGTCTCCTCAGCTCCTCCTCCAGCCCCCTCCTCCTCTCCTCCCTCTCTCTCAGCTCGCAGATGGTTTCCTCTTTCTTGCGGTTTTCCTCCTGCAGCCTCGAGATCTCCTCCTCCAGGACTGGCGAGACTGATGACAGAACACAGGCTTTACAGGTTAAACACCTGCTCCGTCAGGTGACCTCAGCCGTCTCGGCGTGCAGCGCTGTGCGTTACCTGCGGCGTGGGCGTGCTCCGTCAGGCAGCGTTGAACGCTCTGAGCGTCCTCTCTGACCTTCTGCAGGTCTTCAGTCAGCGAGCTGATGATTCCCTCCAACACAGTCGCCTGCTCCTCCTAACAAACACCAACCGATACTGTTATCAATCGCTCACGATCCCCAGCGGCGAGAAGAAATACAGTGGCGATAATGAAAGACGCGTCACCTTGCTGCTGTCGGCGCCGACGGTTGACAGGTCGACCGTCTTGCTGACCAGGTTCTTCAGGATCTCGACTCTCTTCTCGGCTCGCTCCTCCAGGATCTCCCTCTCCTTCTCCAGACGCTCGCTGAAGCAGAGAGGAAACAAACTGAACGTCTTCCTGTTTCCTATTGGAACATATCGTGTTTTATTAACAGCATGTTTGTCATTTTGTGATCACATCCACCTACATAATAACTTGATATTAACTTTTGCTCACCTGTGATTTACCAAAGTTACTAGTTTAGTTTTTTTTACTAGCCACATTAATGTTGTTTTTAATGATTGAAGGAGCTTAAATGTACTAATATGATCTTTAGGTCTGATAAGGCTGTGGAAAGTTCTTTTCCTTCTTCTTGAACATAATGAAAGTGCTGCATCAGAAACTCTGTTTATTCGTAACAGCAGTAAAGCTGTAATAAATGTTCTGCATTAGAAACAAAGAGCAAAGAATAAATTAAGGCAACAGGATTAAAATATTCTGTAGGCCCACTCTGGATAGTTGGTTCTCCTCAGAGCTCTGACTGGGTTTATGTTCCTCATCATGAAGCTCTGAGTAACTGCGTCCACCTGAAACGAGTTCGCAGCTCTTTATTTTCCTCACTGTTCCCGCACAAACGCGTGAGCACTTTTATTAAGACGTAGAAACGATGTGCTGCGAGGGCAGCCCTGCCACTAGGAACTCCACGTCCCTGGATCAGGAAGATCTCTAATGTTACAGCCTTTACAGACACTTTCCTCCTGCCTCTCCGTCTCCGCTCTGCCTTTTCTCTCGTGCGTGCGCGACCAGTTCCCGTTTTCCATATTTAGAGCGCGCACCATCGCGCGGCGTTACTGCGGGACAGAGTCAGTCTCCTGCTATTAGAAAAGGTCGCTTCCTCATCGCTGCCGCTGGTGAAGTTGATAATTAACAGCAGGTTAAACAGCCCTCGCTCCGCCGGCCGGCCTGTGACTTTAATCTCCACAGCGTCTTCTTGTTTACAGTGTTTTCGGTCAAGAGGCTTCACGAATGGACCAATGAGCAAACACTATGCGCAGGCAGTACTCATGGGAGTTGTAGTGTCTTCAAATTGCAATTCATTTGTTATTTCAGATGCATTTTGAAAACACTACAATATGTCAACACGCCTAAGTGGCTCATGGGAGTGACCGTTACCCGCCACGGTTTGGCCCTGATAACAAGATCAAAATGTTTAGTCCAGCGTCGTTGCACTACGCTGACGACACTGTTACAGTATCCAATTCAGAAACAAAGGGCCCCGGCGCCATCGTTACAGTCATTACCCCTCACGTGTCCTCGCAGCCGGTCACATGACTGTTACCTGTAGTCTTTCTCCATCTTGTTGAAGAGCTCCATGAACTCAGTGCTGACTTCCTCTCTGATCTGAGCCTCCAGAACCAATCGCAGCGCAGCCTCTCGGTCTGGCTGCACACACAGAACACCACGACAAGTCAAAACAAGTTACAGAACAACAAACGTTACTGATCAGAAATTACAATTTAGGAAAGATTACTTTCTCTGAAGTGTGAAGATTTTACACAACGATGAACTGAAACTATCGGAGACTCTGCAGGGAAAACCCTTTTTATTTCACACCTTCCTGAATCATGAAGACTTGTAAGTTCAAACGTTGCAGCTCATAAACGCTCTCCACCACGAGTCCACTCATCAACCAAAACATAAAGATCTGTTAACGACCCTTTTTCCTGCAGCAAGACAAACTAAAGAAGAAGTGACCTTTAAAAACGACGACCTCCATTAAAGACAGTGTTTCCCACAGGATTTAAAGAGACTATGGCGGGTGGACCTCGGAAGATTTGGTACATTTTAAAGTGAAATGCATTAATTTGGTGCAAAATTAAGAGGCTATCTATGAAGAACTTTGCACTCCAGTAAACTGTTTGAACATGACCCCACTGTAGAGCTGCAGACGAAACGGCAACAAAAGTCAACAAATGTATTTAATGTTTTTCCAGCAACCCTAAATCAAAGAATAGAAAATAAATAATTTCCCGAACATTTTATTGTTGTTGTGTCGGATGCCAAAGTGCGCGAGCTCACAGCAGCGCCCGCACGACACAACGTTAGAGCTTTGAAACATGATTATGAGATGTGTGAAAATATTTTCGGTTCATTTTGAAACTATGGAGGAGCAAATTAGACTGAAATGTTTTATATTTTTCATCAACGAATAAAAAAACAATAATGTGACAGACAGATAACAAAAATGAGACTAAACTGTAGATCTGGGGCTGAAAGTAGCAAAAACCAAATGAATAAAATTCAAATTACACATTTGTAAACGATGTAAACCGGCTCTGCTCGACCCCGCCATGGAGCTGGTTTCTCTGCTCGCCTGTCCACGTACTGTTGGCCGTGTAGTGAAGCGATCTTTAGAAAACCTTTAAATTAGAGCATTACCTTCTCTTCTTCCTCCATCGTCCGGTCCTCTTCCTCCTCCTCGTCTTCCTCACCTCCGGCCTCCAGCACGGTTCCCTCCATCGCACTCTCCTCCTCCTCTTCCTCCTCCTCGTCGTCCTCAACCTCCAGCACGTCTTCCAGGGTCGTCTCCCAGGCGACCAGCGAGCTCTTCCTGCCCCGCCCCGACACGTTCCTGCGCTGGTCGGCCTCGTCGATGATGATCGACAGCTCCATGGCCGACCTGTGGGGGGCGTCGTCCAGGACCGCGGGCCTGGAGTTCACCACCACCACCTGGACAGAGAGGCGTCGCCTTCGTTAAACCAACACGCCTGCGAGATTAGAGAGCCGCTGCCCGACCTGTGTGTGTGTGTGTGTGTGTGTGTGTGTGTGTGTGTGTGTGTGTGTGTGTGTGTGTGTGTGTGTGTGTGTGTGCGCGCGCTGACCTTCTGGGCGAGGGCGGAGAACTTGAGGACGTTGAGCGTCTCGTCGAAGCAGGACGGGTTCTGGTTGATGTTGACCACCATTGAGACCCGGCCGGCACCACAGAAGAAGAACTGCAGGAAGTGGGTCAGCTTGGACTCCCTGAAGGGGATGTGGTGCTGGAACCTGCAGAGAGTCAGATCAGCTGTTTCACATCCTTTCAGATATACCACACACAGACACACATGGCGGCGGCGGCGGCGTACTTGGCGTGCTGGTTCAGTCTCATGGCGTTGATGCACTTCCCCAGCGTCAGCAGAGAGCTGTTGATGTTTCCCGCTTCCTTCAGTCTCTCTCCGGTGTTGTGAGTCCGGGAGCATCTCTCGGAGCCGGCCAGGTCGCACAGCGCCAGCCTGAACACACACACACAACGATCATTAACACCCAGCACCGCAAGGCCGACCGCCACGCTGAGGTAACAAACCGCGTTAATGAAGGGCGAGCTTACTCGCTGATGCCGAGGACTCTGGGAACGCCGACGTCGTCCACTCTGAGGATCCTGATGGAGAAGATGCTGTGGCTGCGGAGACACACAAACCCTGATTACTCCTCACAGACTGATGCAGACTGTGCTGATGCAGCTAGCTGTTAGTTTCATGAGCACGTGTGCTTTTAAATCCGTTCCTCCAGCTGGACTTCCTGGATCAGGACCGACCGGACAGATCTAATGTTAGGGACTGAGTGAGCGGCAGCTGACCTCCTGCTGGACAGCTGGTTCAGTCTGGTGGAGGAGAAGCTCTGGTTCTTCTTCCCGATTTTCATGACTCTGTAGGCCTCCTCGGAGCTGTTCACCTGGACCCACCGCAGGTCTGAAACACGCAGCACACAAAAACAATCCTTTTAAATCATGACATAAAACTGGCTGGTCCTGTCCGTCATGTAAAGACCAACACGACTGTTGAAAAAGGAGTAAGTAAGTCAGTAAGAAGTAAGGAAGTAGCTAAGGAGGAAGGAAGGAGGAAGTAAGGAAGTAGCTAAGGAGGAAGTAAGGAAGTAGCTAAGGAGGAAGTAAGGAAGTAACTAAGGAGGAAGTAGCTAAGGAGGAAGTAAGGAAGTAACTAAGGAGGAAGTAGCTAAGGAGGAAGTAAGGAAGTAACTAAGGAGGAAGGAAGGAAGTAACTAAGGAGGAAGGAAGGAGGAAGGAAGTAACTAAGGAGGAAGTAGCTAAGGAGGAAGTAAGGAAGTAACTAAGGAGGAAGTAGCTAAGGAGGAAGTAAGGAAGTAACTAAGGAGGAAGTAGCTAAGGAGGAAGTAAGGAAGTAGCTAAGGAGGAAGTAGCTAAGGAGGAAGTAAGGAAGTAGCTAAGGAGGAAGTAAGGAAGTAGCTAAGGAGGAAGTAAGGAAGTAACTAAGGAGGAAGTAAGGAAGTAACTAAGGAGAAGTAAGGAAGTAACTAAGGAGGAAGTAGCTAAGGAGGAAGTAAGGAAGTAACTAAGGAGAAGTAAGGAAGTAACTAAGGAGGAAGTAAGGAAGTAACTAAGGAGGAAGTAGCTAAGGAGGAAGTAAGGAAGTAGCTAAGGAGGAAGTAAGGAAGTAGCTAAGAAGGAAGTAGCTAAGGAGGAAGTAAGGAAGTAACTAAGGAGAAGTAAGGAAGTAGCTAAGGAGGAAGTAAGGAGGAAGTAAGGAAGTAACTAAGGAGGAAGTAAGGAAGTAACTAAGGAGGAAGTAAGGAAGTAGCTAAGGAGGAAGTAAGGAAGTAGCTAAGGAGGAAGTAAGGAAGTAACTAAGGAGGAAGTAAGGAAGTAACTAAGGAGGAAGGAAAGAAGTAACTAAGGAGGAAGGAAGTAACTAAGGAGGAAGTAGCTAAGGAGGAAGTAAGGAAGTAACTAAGGAGGAAGTAAGGAAGTAGCTAAGGAGGAAGTAACTAAGGAGGAAGGAAGGAAGTAACTAAGGAGGAAGGAAGGAGGAAGGAAGGAAGTAAGGAGGAAGAAAGGAGGAAGTCAGGAAGGTAGAAAGGAGTAAATAAAGAAGGAAGGAAGGAGTAAATAAGGAGGAAGTCAGGAAGGAAGTAAGGAAGAAAGGATTAAGGAAGGAAGGAAGGAAGGTAGAAAGGAGTAAATAAGGAAGGAAGAAAGGAGTAAATAAGGAAGGAAGAAAGGAGTAAATAAGGAAGGAAGGAAGGAAGGAGTCAGTAAGTAAGGAAGGAAGGAAGAAAGGAGTAAGTCAGCAAATAAGGAAGGAAGGAAGGAGTAAGTCAGCAAATAAAGAAGGAAGGAAGGAGTAAGTCAGGAAGGAAGGAAGGAGTAAGTCAGGAAGGAAGGAAGGAGTCAGTAAGTAAGTAAGGAAAAAAGGATTAAGGAAGGAAGGAAGAAAGGAGTAAATAACTCAGGAAGGAAGAAAGGAGTAAATAAGGAAGGAAGAAAGGAGTAAATAAGGAAGGAAGGAAGGAAGGAGTCAGTAAGTAAGTAAGGAAGGAAGAAAGGAGTAAGTCAGCAAATAAGGAAGGAAGGAAGGAGTAAGTCAGCAAATAAGGAAGGAAGGAAGGAGTAAGTCAGGAAGGAAGGAAGGAGTAAGTCAGGAAGGAAGGAAGGAGTCAGTAAGTAAGTAAGGAAAAAAGGATTAAGGAAGGAAGGAAGAAAGGAGTCAGTAAGTAAGTAAGGAAAAAAGGATTAAGGAAGGAAGGAAGAAAGGAGTAAATAAGTCAGGAAGGAAGAAAGGAGTCATAAAGTAAGGAAGAAAGGAGTAAATAAGGAAGGAAGAAAGGAGTAAATAAAGGAAGGAAGGAAGGAGTCAGTAAGTAAGTAAGTAAGGAAGAAAGGAGTAAGTCAGCAAATAAGGAAGGAAGGAAGGAGTAAGTCAGCAAATAAGGAAGGAAGGAAGGAGTAAGTCAGGAAGGAAGGAAGGAGTAAGTCAGGAAGGAAGGAAGGAGTCAGTAAGTAAGTAAGGAAAAAAGGATTAAGGAAGGAAGGAAGAAAGGAGTAAATAAGTCAGGAAGGAAGAAAGGAGTAAATAAGGAGGAAGTCAGAAAGGAGTAAATAAGGAGGAAGTCAGGAAGGAAGTAAGGAAGAAAGGATTAAGGAAGGAAGGAAGGAAGGTAGAAAGGAGTCAGTAAGGAAGGAAGGAGTAAATAAGGAAGGAAGGAAGGTAGAAAGGAGTCAGTAAGTAAGTAAGGAAGGAAGGAAGGAGTAAGTCAGCAAATAAGGAAGGAAGGAAGGAGTAAGGAAGGAAGGAAGGAAGGAAGGAGTCAGTAAGGAAGGAAGGAAGAAAGGATTAAGGAAGGAAGGAAGGAAGGAAGGTAGAAAGGAGTCAGTAAGTAAGTAAGGAAGAAAGGAATAAGGAAGGAAGGAAGGAAGGAGTAAATAAGTCAGGAAGAAAGGAGTAAATAAGGAAGGAAGAAAGGAGTAAGTAAGGAAGGAAGGAAGAAAGGAGTAAGTCAGCAAGGAAGGAAGGAAGGAAGGAGTAAGTAAGGAAGGAAGGAAGAAAGGAGTAAATAAGGAAGGAAGGAAGGAGTAAATAAGGAAGGAAGGAAGGAGTAAATAAGGAAGGAAGGAAGGAGTAAGTAAGGAAGGAAGGAGTAAATAAGGAAGGAAGGAAGGAAGGAAGGAAGGAGTAAGGAAGGAAGGAAGGAAGGAAGGATTAAGGAAGGAAGGAAGGAAGGAAGGAAGGAAGGAGTAAATAAGGAGGGAAGGAAGGAAGGATGGATAGGAAACCACAGTTCCCACTTGGAACCGGTTCTTGATACCAAACCCTGCTTTGCGGGAGGTCCAACCTGAAGGACTGGATTTAAATCCGTCTCTTGACTAAACCTCGTCCGCACATCCAGTTTGGACCGAAGACACAAACACGGCGTGTTACCTTTGATGAAGGAGTTCCCCTTCACGTCCTGAGACAGACGCAGCACCGTCCTCCTGTGGTGTCCGCCGGGAACCTGCACAGATCAGTGAGACGATCAATCAGTGAGACGATCAATCAGTGAGACGATCAATCAGTGAGACGATCAATCAGTGAGACGATCAATCAGTGAGGACGCCGTGTCCGGTCCGAGCTCTGGCTCCAGGCGAGCCGCGCGTTACCTGTTCCAGCAGGTCGTGGATGTTGTCGTTATAAATCTCACAGAAGGAAACCCAGACGGAGAAACGGACGTTTGAGTCGACGTCCAGGCAGAAGCTGTCGGCTTCAGAGACGCCGTTCAGGCTGCTGTCGCTGCTGAGAGACGAGCCTGAGCACACAGAGAGACGGTGAGTACTCGGGTTAAAGCGTCACGTGCTGAAGCGGCCGATCGCACTCCAGAGTAAGAAAATCACTGACCGTCGAGGAAAGCGGATCTTCCAGACGTCTGGTTTCTGTCGCTCTGCGGAGACAAAGAGGACACTAGTTGACACCACATCCTCACACCGTGGACACACCTGTTCTGTTTTCCAGGCCCGACCTCTTTCAGCAGCCTCAGCAGGTTCCTCTTGCTGCTGATCTCCGCCGCCTGCTGGTCTGGAGTCAGCCTGCTGACGTCTCTGCAGCGCTGAGGCTTCAGATCGGACCGGCCGTACAGGCGACCTTCAATGCTGTTAAAGATGACCGACAGAGACCTGGGCAACAGGCCGGAGTCGTGGTCCGGACCTGAGAGGCGGACGGGAGGAGAGGCAGACGGTCAGACCAGGACAGCAAGTGGGCCAACATTAGGGGTCAACATCAGGTCTGGTGGCTTCGAATGTTTGTGGTTCAACGGTCTCTCTGCAGGGCTCATTATGCTGTCAGACCCCGTACTAACAATGTGACCCCGTCAGCCTGTTCTGCTGCACACCGCTCGCTCAGTACCGACGTCCTCCCCGTTAGTCGCATAGACGCAAAAACAAAAGGGTCCAGGTTGTAACGGTTCCCTCTGAGTGAGCGGGTCACTCAGAGAAACCAGGTAATGTGAGAAGGCGTTTACGGCGACCTATAAATGTGTGTACATGCAGCAGGTCTGGGATCAGGTTCCTCTCCTGCACCGACCTTATTCTGAAAGTCTTATTTTAACTGACGGAGCAGGGAGAGGACGCAGCTCAGGCGAACCCAAACTGAGACTCCCTGAGGCGGCTCCGACGATCTCCGTCATCCTGCTCACACGCCGAACAGGAGAAACCTGCCTGAGCAAATCAGATTTCTCTAATCTCCTACGGCGCCGACGACAGAAACTACGTTCACGGATCTTTTAAGAAACCAGCTGACTGTAAACTGGTTAGTGAGCGAACAGCTGAATGAGCTCACGGTGAGTATTTCTGTTACTACTTAACCACTTTAGGCTGCTGAGCTCTGAACCATCTGTAGGGGTTTTGGACCTGGAGAATCTTGTTATTAATTATCAATTATTTTTTCAGACAGCTAAGAGACGGATCGACAGGTTGTGTTTCTGACCCAGGAATGTGAAGGTCTTTCCGGCGTTGGTGACTCCGTAGGTGAACACCAGACAGTTTCCTCCCTGCAGAACGTCTCGGACCAACCCACGAACCGAGCCCTCGAACACCTTCCTCTGACTGGCCTCCGGCTCGAACACCTCGACAACAAGCAGAGTTCAACATGAACATGTTTGTAAAGCGAAGCCGCAGCGCAGACGGACCGGTGATGTCAGACGTACCTGCGTGAAGGTGAACCTCTGTGCCGTCTGTGGGAGGGACTTCTCATTCTGTCGGTTTGATTGACAGCTCCTGGGAGCCTTCAGGACCACAGTGTCGGGCCCCTCGATGGTGACGCACCCCTGAAGAGCAAAATACAAAGATGGAAGTTTTATCAGACAGAATCTCACAGTAAAGGTCTAGATACTCCGAGAAGATGTTAGAAAGCAGAGGTCGTCACGTCTAAATCACATGATCATTATTATATTATTAATTATTAGCAATGAACAACAATATCTAAACCACAGCTGTGTCATTAGAGCTAACGATTGTTTTCCTACAAATCACAATTATACAAAGAAAAGGATTAAATCTGGAACCAGCAGCTTTCACAGTTCTGCCTTAAATCAACGATCAGTGTCTCTAATTATCACCACATACCAATAAAAGCAAACTGAAAACGTGCGACTGGATCTTCTCCTGAATGTTAGGAGGCGACAGGGCTGAACAATTTACAGAAATCGCAATATGGCCGACCGCAATTTTGAAAACGCAGGAGGTGGAATATTTTGTTAAAGTTGAAATGTGTGTTAAGAATATACTGTTTTAAATGAAATAACTGATGTCCTGGCCGACACGTCATGTTCTACAGACAACATCTTAGTTTGGGACAGATCTGCAGAAATCCCTCCGTAATCACTTAAATGTGTGTTTCAATGACAATTAGATTAACAATGAAAATAATTCCTTTTAATATCAAAAATCATAACGCATTGTATATTTTCCAGTATCTTTCAGCCCTGTTAAATATTAATAACAATAATTTCCCTTGGAGGCATTAATAAAGTATGTCTTCTCCTTCTATACATTACTTTCACTTGATAAATTATCCATGACAAGAGGGCTTGTCAGACGTGTTCACCTTGACTGTTTTTATTATTATTATGCATATTACATATCATTATTAGTTTAACTGAACTAAAAACCATAATAATAATAATAGTTTTGTATGAACAGCCATTAATGTTTCATCTGTACCAGTCCTACAAAGTGTGTGTGTGAGTGTGAGTGTGTGTGTGTGTGAGTGCGTGTGTGTGTGAGTGTGTGTGTGTGAGTGAGTGAGTGCGTGTGTGTACCTGTGAGCCTCCGTTGTCGCTCTCGGCTGCAGTGAACGGTCGAACCCTCAGGTAAACCTGCAGGTTCTCCGTCTGCGACTGAACGCTGTCCTGAAGAGAGAGAATCAGCTTTACTGCCAGGTATGTGTGCACATACGAGGAATCTGAGTCAGGATTGTACATTGCTCACGATGTGCTCAACGAACTCATACAAAAATACAATAATAAAATAAAATCAGACACAGACTTCAGTGTAGACAAAAACAATATGACATATTGACACATAGTGCAGTGAGCAGAGTGCAAAGGAACAGACGGAACCCTGAGAACCTCCTGCAGAACCACAGACAGAGAGAGAGACAGACCTGCGCTGGTAGAGCACTGAATTCACCCAGCAGATCTCTCCTGATGTCGTCCACCTCCACCGGCCCGACTCTCTCCGGCTTCCCAGCCAAACAAGACTCCATCATCTTCTTCTAACAACAACAACATGTAAGCATCAGTCACATCCTGCATCATTCCTTCAATCCCCACCTCCACTTCTCTAACAGCGCCCTCGTCTGTTCAGTCGGTGACATTAAAACCAAAGTCTTGACTCTGTTAAAGATCAATAATTAACGTTACAAACGACCGTTTCCAACTGTTGACGAACAGGAAACCACATTTTAAAGGTGGATATCTTTAACAGGCATGTGTGATGGAGATTATATCTATGCCGATTTTCAGTGGAACTTGATTTAAAATATTTATTCATTAACCTTCTGCGTTGGATGTAAGCAAACCGGTCAGCGAGAGACATTTAACGTTAAATGTTCAGATATTTAATCGGAGTTCGGCGTGAAGATCAACAATAACAGAACATATCCGAGCTAGTTAAATTAAATGAGCTGTAAACAGTTTCAGTATTTCATAATATAATAATTCACACATGATTCGTATTTATTAACAGCAGCTAACTGCAGTAAATAAGATTTAAAGATCATTTTTAAAACCAGTTTGCTTTGTTGTTAGCATTAGCCACAACTAGCTGGCTAACGTTAACCCTCGTGTATTTGTTTTGTTAACGTATTTCTCAGTACAAACATCACGTAAACATCACAGCTGTAAGACTTAAACAGACATTTTATCGAACTTTAACTCACGCTGGGTTTGTTTTATTTCCCCCAAAAGAGTAATTTAAGCAGGAAACATCTAGAGGCAGTCGGTAGCGTTAGCTCTCGCTGCTCCTCTACGCGGTCTACTTTTTAAACTGGGACCGGAGGACCAATCAGACGACGAGCACCGGGAGACGTCAGGCAGATATCGTTCAAACGATCTCGCGAGATTATGTTTATCGACTTAAAAGGAATCAACAAAAACATAATTTTTTCCTGAGTGTACTGGACGTCTCTGCGTGCAGGTTTACAGAAAACTCTTGTTGTTTTATTTTACAGTATTTATAGCCGCGGATTCCTAAAAGGTAAACAGTAAACGTGAGAGTGACGTCATCGGCCGGGGACAGAGGTGGCGGATTGGAAGCGGATTTAGGGATCAGGGTTTCGGAGACGGCAGCCGCACCTGGACCACCTTACCCGGGTCACTCCTGCCTCTGCGGACCCGTTTCATTCAAGAGACGTCGCGCCGCTTCGTGATAAACGCCGGTAAAACACGTTAGGACGTCGCGAGGACACGCAGCAACACGGTTTCCTTGACAACGGTGCGGGCGCGTCATTGCCGATCAGCTGCTGACAGATTATTGATCCACGCGGCGGTGAGTGTAATCCCGCAGCTTTAATCCCGCACTCTTCACTGCAGCTGGACTCTCACACGCAGAGAGCTTCAGCGTCAGCAGGTTGCGTTTAAGGTGCTGCAGTAACAACACGGTCAACATGCAACAGGTTTACCTGAAGAACGGCTGCAGGTGACCCGAGCCTGTTCAGGAAGTTACAGTATGAGGCTGTACTGTTAGCCTTTAACTGCTGGATGACACAAGGTTGTTAAAATGGAAAAGACCTGGGGGAAGATGAGCCAGATATTAAATATTTAAATATTATAAATTTAGATCTGTGGATGTAAATCTTGGCATAAATGATCAAATTAAAACTTACATTCTTATACAGTAAATGTTACCAAGTACAGATCTACAGACATGTCTCCACAGTTTCTGGGTGTGATGGCAGAATAACCGGGCTGCAGTTTCCTGGATTTTACAGGGTAGGAACGCTGGAGAATCTCCCTGACTTTAGTCACCAACAGTCTGCTTCTCTACATTTATCTGACCGCTGTAGTTTCTTAAGATTTTACACCTAAAACATAAGAAGTGTTTGTTCATACTGGATATAAAATACTCATATTTGCACACCCTGGTATGAAACCAGGTGCAGATAAACGAGTGTAAATGAAATAATACCAGTAAGCAGCAGCTGGTTGAAACCCAGTTTATTCACCGACTGCAGATGATCGTGGCTCGATGTAGACTTCACGTCATGTTTGTGGTGTTGACCCTGGCCTCGCCTGTCCCGCAGGTGTCACGCTGCCACCATGTCGTCCGGGGACTCGAGCGGTGACGGTGGGAAGTGGCTGGACGCTCACTACGACCCGGTGGCGGGCCTGTACACCTTCTCCTCCTGCGTGGACCTGGCCGACCTGAGCGGCGACGGGGAGACTCGGCTGGTGGTGGGGGACCTGGGCTCCGGCTCGACGGGCATGAAGCTGAAGGTGTACCGGGGCACGGCGCTGATGAGCGAGAGCACCCTGCTGGACCTGCCCGCCGGCCTCGTCGCCTTCTTCATGGACCTGCACGAGCCGCGCATCCCCGCCGTGGCCGTGGCGTCCGGGCCCTGCATCTACGTCTACAAAAACCTCCGTCCGTACTTCAAGTTCACGCTGCCCGGCCTGGAGGTCAACACGCTGGAGCAGGTCTGTGTTTCTGTGGGGACGCACATGTTACGCCTCACACCGTTCATTCGTGATCAAAGCCGACTGCGCCTGTTGATGTTGTGCTGCTCTCTTGATTGGTCAGGACGTGTGGCGGCAGGTGAGGGAGGGTGAGATCGACCCTCTGACCCTGAAGGAGATGTTGGAGAGCATCAGGAAGAAGGCCGACGTCCCGCTGTCCGTCCGCTCGCTCAGGTTCCTCTCTCTGGAGACCGCCGACATGGACGAGTACGTCCACCTGCACAAACAGCAGCCAATCAAACGGCAGGTAAACCTCAGGAGGATGTCCGTATGAGTGATGATGATTTACGTGATCGAATCGCGTTGTGTGGATGATTTGCATTGATGAGCAGCTGAGAGTGAACGTGATGCCGGTTTCACACGCACAACGCCACTAACGCGTGAATTACATGGTTGGACTGCTCGCATGAGCGTTCACACACGATAAACACAACCCGCCATTACTGCAGCTGTGTGAACCCAAATGAGGTGAATTTGTTGCAATAAACGGATCAAACTGATGCTGGCGTGTTTAAGATTCAGGCTTCGTCAGGCCTGTCGGCAAGATGTTTTCAGATTGGCAGAAAATCGCGTCCCTTGGCGCCTTTGCCTTGTCGCCGAGGCCAACGCTCGCGTCACGTTGTGTCTGAAACCGGCATCACTCTGCAGCGATGTAGAGAGCGGAGGTGGTTTTATTAAGAGTTACTGATATTTTAAGGCGGTATCGCCGCCCCTGTGTTTCAGACCGTCATCACCTGCATCGGGACTCTGAAGAAGAGCACGGCCGACGAGGACGGCGTCAGCTGTCTGGTGATCGGCACGGAGAGCTGCGACGTCTACGTCCTCGACCCCGAAGCTTTCATCGTCCTCTCCAAGGTGAACTCGCATCACACGCTGGAACACAGCTACTGGTCTGAACCGGTCCTAAAGACCTAAAGAGTTTATGAACAGATCCGCCTGACCTGTGGAGTACCACAGGGTGCCAAACTGGGCCCCTACTCTATGTACTGTAAAACTTTAGCTTGTTTCAGTCCCTGAACTCACCCGGCCTTTATTTGGGACGTGCCTTTAATCCCTTTCACGTAAATCTCTTGCTGGAACAGGAAACAGGCTGCTGTTGAATTGTTTATTTCAACCAGTCTGAAAATTACTTGTATAAAAAATTAGGCTATCGGATAAAATTCATTTGATGTCGGCCAGCCTCATGCACAGAGAGAGCGAAGATAAAAGCCGAACATTCGCGCCGTTATTTCAACTGGGATTCATTTTTATGAAAAAACGTTTTGATTCTTTTGATTGGTGGACTAAAGGAATGTACACACATTTAGACTTTATGTCCGCCTCACAGGTCGGGGGTCACCACTTTTTTACATCTCCCATGCCAGTAAATGTGAATGAATAATACTTTGGTGCTCACTGTTTCCATAAGATGAACTGATAAAGAGAATCTAAGTGATTTAACGACACGGAGAGTGTCCATACGGACAGATGTTATATATGTGTGCATTAGCTCATGCAGGTGACTTTGTGGGCTTTTAGAGGCTTAATACATCCAGAGAACTTCTATAAAATCCAGACCAGGCTTCTAATTGAGACCAGCGTTTATTTGTCCAAACATGGAGCCCACAGCAGAACAGTCTAACTGGGTCTCTGCTGTTAATTTACGGTAGATGTATTTAGAGAACCAAGCATTTCTTTCTAACTTCTCCTGCATGTTTACATTTTGTCTCGATCAGTTCAGTGTAACGTCCGTTTCCACAGCCCCTCCATCGTGTGAGCTCAGTATGCAGTTTTGCTCATGTGAGGACAGTTAAATAAATATTAAAGTAGATCACATGACAACAAAGTAAACCCTCTCTGAGGAAAGCCATGAGACGTGGCTGAAAGCTTCAGTAAGCTGGACCTTGAGCATTCCTGTGAAGCTTCTCTAACGTGTCCGTGTGACTGTTCAAGATGTCGCTGCCCGCCGCTCCCACCTTGATGGACGTGACGGGACAGTTCGACGTGGAGTTTCGCATCACGGTGGCGTGTCGCAACGGCAACATCTACATCCTGCGCAGGTGAGACTGACAGAGAGAGGGAGGAGACTCACCTGGAAGTGAAGGCCGAGGAAGGTTTACACGACCTCAGGCTGTGACATCAAACCTTTTTGATCCCAGTTTGATCCCGTAGCTCTTTCAGGTTGAAAGATGAAATAACATCTGACAGATGTTTGTGCTGCTGCTCCACAGGGAGTCGGAAAAACCGAAGTACTGCATCGAGCTGCCGTCTCACCCGGTGGGTCTGGTGAGGGTCGGGAAGAACGTGGTGGTCGGCTGCACCGACGAGAGCCTGCAGGGCTTCACCCAGAAGGTAAAACTCATGAGCTTTAGATTCGTGATGTCTGAGTAGGAAACAGTTCGATCGTCGATGTGTTTACAACACAGGGCTGTGTAACGAGATGAAGGTGCAGATCCTGAAGGCTGGAGGTCGGGTCAGTTCTGTGAAGAAGACCCGTCACTACGCTGCTTTACTTTTTAATACTGAAACTGTGTTTTTTTTTTAATGCTGTCATTCAGGAAGCAAAAGAGGTGCAACACAACAGCGTCCCGTCCCGCCAGCGCCCCCGTTTCACAGACGTTGATTCGGCTTTATCACTACGTCTGCTGCCGGCTGAACAACAGAACACACATTTTATACAGCGAGGCGGAATAACAGCACAACAATCCTTAAACAGGCTTGAGAGGAGCTCACGAGGGACAGATCAGGTCCCGGTTTGACCAAAATGTCCCAGGAACTAAATCCGGAGCAAAATGAGTTATAAAAAGTTACAGCTTCTGATCTGAGTCTACAGTCATGCTAACAGTTCTGTGGGGCTGTATTTACTAACATGCTCACAGTGACAGTTCAAACAGGTTAATGTTCACCATCTTAGCGTAGCATGTTAGCATGCTAACAGTAGCTAATTAGCAGTAAACACAGCTGAGGCTGATGGGAATGTCTTTAGTTCTGCAGGTATTTGGTCATAAAGTGTTGAACCCGTTAACATGAAAAATTATTAAAGTTCATCCTGAGGAGAACATGAAGGTCTGAACCAGATGTCATCACAACCCGTCCGTCGGTGTTTCAGTCTGGACCAGAGGACAGACAGACTGACATTAAAGCGCTGCGCTGCTAACAGGCTAACAGTTCTCTCTTGTGTCTTCAGGGGAAGAAGCTGTGGAAGGCCGTCCTCCCCGCTCCCATCATCACCATGGCTGCCATGGACCTCCCCACCAGGGGCTTCCAGGCGGTTCTTGTGGGTCTGGCCAACTGTGAGGTCCAGCTGTACCGGGACAAGAACCTGCTGAGCACCATCAAGACGCCCGACGTGGTCACCAGCATCTGCTTTGGCCGGTACGGGCGCGAGGACGGGACCCTCATCATGACCACCAAGGGAGGGGGCCTGATGGTGAAGATCCTGAAGAGGACAGCGGCCTTCGAAGACAGGGACACCGCCCCCGGGCCGCCGCTGGCCCAGAGCATCCGCCTCAACGTGCCCAAGAAGACCAAGCTGTACGTGGACCAGACACTGAGGGAGCGCGAGAATGGCCTGGCCATGCACAACGCCTTCCAGATGGACCTGAGCCGCCTGCGTCTGGCCACCGCCAAAGCCTACGTCAAAGCCCTGGAGTCCAGCCTGACGCCGATGTCCTCCAGCCTCACCGAGCCGCTCAAGATGAACGCTGTGGTGCAGGGTCTGGGCCCATCCTTCAAACTGACCCTCAACATCCAGAACACGGCAGCATGTCGGCCCGTCATGAACCTGGCCATCAGCTTTCTGTACGACGAGAGCCTGTACAGGATGAGGAACTCGTACATGAGGATCCCCCTGCTGGTGCCCGGACTCATCTACCCGGTCGAGACCTTCGTGGAGTGCACCAGCGACATGGGCATCTCTGACATCATCAAGGTGTTCGTGCTGCACGAGGGGAAGAGCTCCCCGCTGCTGACCGCCCACATCAACATGCCCGTCAGCGAGGGACTGACGCTCAACTGACGACTTTATTACCCCTTGTAGTCGGTTCAGATCGAAGTCGCTTCGAATCCGCTCCAGAGTCTGTGACCGAGACCACTTCCTGTAAAGGATCTGAGTGTGGTTGTTTTGATCTGCACATGAGTAAGTTGTGTCTAAATTGTTGTGTCTGCAGAGACAACTCGTACCAACCGACCGACCGGAGTCTAATTCAGCCGGACTAACTAACACCCTGAGACTGGTTTAAAACAAGACTCTCGGTCCAGTCAGACCACCAACAGGACCGTGAGAGAGTAGATGTCTTGACTGCTGATAGATTTATGTTAAGAAAGCGATCTCTGATCTGTAGAAGTGCTGTGTAGCCTGTATATAAATATTAGATCATCTGGTGACCACGGTAAACCCGTGTCTGCAGTTTAACGTGGTCCCCTATTTGTAATGTTGTCAATATATTTATAAAAGATCCAGTCTGGACTAATAAAGCTGATTAAAGCTATTTCTTGGTGAACTCTTTGTGACTCGGGAGAAGATCAATGAACAGGTTCAGTAAAGTTGGCTGGAGAATTGGAGCAGCGGGGGCGGGATTGTATTTCCTCTACCGCACTGTTGTGACGAAAAAAGAGCTGAGCCAGAAGGCAAAGTTCTCGATCTAGTTATCAGTTTTCATTCCTACCCTCACCCATGGTCAGGAAGGCCGGGTCATGACCGAAAGAACTAGATCGCGGGTACAAGCAACCGAAATGGGTTTTCTCAGGAAGGTGGTTGGCGTCTCACATAGAGATGTGGTGGTGAGGTGAGAAGCGAAGTCATCTGTGAGGAACTTGGAGTAGAGCCGCTGGGAGGGGAAGAAGCAGGACTAGGTGGAGAGACTCCATACTGGCCTGGGAACACCTCGGGATCCCCCAGTCAGAGCTGGTTAATGTGGGACAGGGAGGTTTGGGGTCCCTACTGGAGCTGGTGCCCCTGATACCAGACCCCAGATAAGAGGTTGAAGATGGATAGTTCAGTAAAGTGGCAACTGACCTGCTGTCTGTGGGTCCATGTAGAGCTGATGATGCAGGACAACATCACCAAAACGGTCCAATCAGTGAGGCAGGCTGTATGACGTCACGTTTCCTCCTGTAGGTTTGGAAAAAGAAATAAAAGAAAGTGAAACAGTGCCACCTGCTGCTCTGCTGACCTGAGCCCAGAGCAGCTCCATTTAGAAAATCATGAACTTAAATGCATCAAATCAAATAATCAAATTCCACATGAACGTTTTTACTCCTCACAGAAACTCTTTTCTACCACATGGAAGGTTTCCGGTTCACTGGTGACTGTTTCAGATCTTTGTAGATGTTCCCAGAACCTGCAGGAGTCCAGCTGGATGATGTCGTTTGTATAGATTTGTTTACATGTTTAAAACAGTAGATCCTGATGTGTGTTGGAAACTACAGAGTCATCAGCATACAGTTTGAGCTCTCGGGGATAAAAATCACTGCAGACTTTTGGTTTTTGCAGAAACGTTAACAAGACAAATGTGTTCCAGATGTCCAGTTTTTTGTATTTAGTCTTATGTTTGTACAGAATTCATCTGTGAAGTGAAAATAAAGGTAACGCAACTTTCTAGAAAGTTTCTAATCAATGAATTTGTTTCCAGGAAATGTTTCTTCAATTCAACTTATTTGTCCCAAGTTTTGCAATTTGTGCGGCAGCAGCCGCAAAAAAACACAACCAACCAACACAGAAACATTCATATGCTCAATTTAAAGCCAAATAAATATTCATTAATCATTGTTAACTTTACTGTCAGATTGTATTGTCACCAGAATTTAGCAAATTTGTTCAGCTGACCTGCTGTGACTACAGACTAGACCTGCAACTATCTAACTACAAATCCATCGCCAGCTATTTGGATAATCGATTAATCGGTTTGAATCATATTTTAATAAAAATTCTCTGATTCCAGCTTCAAAAATGTGAAAATTTTCTGGTTTTATTTCCTCCTCTGTGACAGTGAACTGAACGTATCTGTGTTGTGGACAAAACAAGACGTTTGAGGATGTCTTCTTTTACAAGGTCCAAGGTAAATTTATTGTCATATTATAACAGGGTCGCGAGTTTGTAGTTATAGAAACTAAACAACCAAACATTAGTTGCAGCCCAACTACAGATTTATTAATTAGAAGAGTTTAAAATCACTTTTCATGTTCCTGCTGCTGTGAGCTGAGATCTCCCCTCGTGGATCAATAAACACTAACAGCGTTGTGTGTAAACTCTGAGCAGTTAGTGCGCTGCAGCAGGATGCCGTCTTGATTGTGAAATGATAAAAACCACAGAGTTTGTTTGCAGCCTGAGAACGCTGGACTTTCCACTGTGATGAAAGAGGAGCAGCAGCATCTATAAAACCCGAGTGACGCCTGAACGCAGCATCAGTGTGCACAGGAGAAGCTCTCTGTCCGGACCAGACTCTGAGACCTGAAGATGAGACGAGCCGCCGTTCTGCTGGGTGAGAAACTGAAACAACTTATCGATCCTGCTGCAGCTTTCTGTGATTTTCCCTGTTTGATTTATTTCTCAGTGGGGTCTGAACACGTGTCATGTTTCCGTTCTGTCAAATCACTGCATCAGTAAGACAAACTGTTGATTTCTATCATGAAACAGTTTGAAATCAACAAACAGGCAAAACTCTGCTCAGTGAAAATGTTTTACTGTGAACTAACTTTTGGAAAAACTTACCTCTGTGGTAACTTCAGGTGTCACCTGCTATGTGTGTGTGTTTCTACATGTTTAGAAGATGTTGTGGGGACAAACAGGTCCCCATGTGGTGACTGTCAGAATCAGAAATCCGTCTCTAATGTAAGCAACAGTCAAAACAAATGTGTGTGTGTGTGTGTGTGTGTGTGTGTGTGTGTGTGTGTGTGTGTGTGTGTGTGCTGTGCTGTGTGTGTGTGTGTGATGGCGTGAAGTTCGGTCAGCTCTGCAGTGGAAACTCAGCCAACAGCAGGAGGACGTCGGACAGCTGGGGAGAGGGACGCTACGGAGCCGGACGGTAACTCAAACTACACAATAATGCTACACACAACCACGCAGGTGCATTATGGGAAATGTAGGCACCGCCATTTTTTTGGGAAACAGACGTGTCTGACGCTCTGAACGGCAGAATCAGGTTTCTGCAGAGCTGATGGAAAAACACGTGACAGGCTTTTCATTTTGAGTTTTCCTTTTTTCTCTTTGTTTCAATTAATGTGTGAAAAAAAAGTCAAATTTGAGCTGAAACTTTTAGTCTCCAGAAAATGAATCATTTGAGTCGTTTATCAAGACTCACTCATGATTAGGGTAAAATGGGGTCAGACGCCCCCCCCCCCCCCCGTAATTCTAACAAAAACACAAAATGTCACAATTTGTTTTCTCAACATTTCTTCTGGCTGCCGCTCGTCTCACTGAACTAAAAGTTTCCTCTGTTTGATAAAAGCCATTCTGACCTGAGTTGATCTAATTCTTTTGTCAGTTAAAATAAGCTTTAAATTTATATATATACACATACATACATACATATATACATATATATATATATATATATATATATATGTATGTATGTATGTATATTTACATTAAGGGGAAGATAACTTATGCAATTGTTTTTTTATAGTTTTTGGTTAAAGTAGTAAAATGCTAGATTAGTATGTTTGGGGTTTACCTCAGACTTTCTGCTAATAAAGTTCCAGCAGCCTGACTGTTTAAAATTCTGAGAAATAAATTATAGGAAAGCTAATGACATCAGGCATGTGGAAAATCCCTTTCTCCTAAAATTTACATTTGATTAACTTAAAATTAATTTGTCAACTGTAGGTATTTATTTTACTTTATACTATGTTACCCGGAGCATGGCCTTCTTAAAGATACAAAAAAAGCTATAAAATATTATTTTATGTGTCAGCAAATAGACATTGAGCTTCTTACCACTCTCTACCCTATCAGGTCTGAGTGATTTTCTGTGTCTCTGTGAACTGAATCTCTTGGACCGCTGGTGGGACCTCGGACTCATTGATAGCGGTCTTACATTTTAAATGGATCAGTTGGACAAACACTAGATGGCCTGAGGTCTCCCTGTGAAGCAGCTGATCACAGTCTGCTGTGTTTCAGGGGCAGCAGGACCCACCAGGGTCTGGACATCGTGTGCAGCGACGGGTCGACCGTCTACGCTCCGTTTGATGTGACTCTCCACGGAAAGGTCACCGTGTACACCGACCCCGCCAAGGCCGCCATCAACAGCGGCATCAACCTGAGAGGAGAGGGTCAGTCCGCCACACAGTTAGACACTGATGTTTTATCTAACAGGCTGTAACATCCTGCTTTACATTAATGAGCCGGAGAGGAGGGAGAACATGTTGCTGCTTTAATACTTTAGTCCTGATTATACTCACATACATTTACTGCAGGACTTTTACTAGTAGCAGAGTACTTTCACAGTGTGGTGTCAGTACTTTAATAAAGGATCTGGTCCTGCAGGTCTGTGTTTCAAGCTGTTCTACGTTCGGCCGGATAAAACCTCCGGATCAGTGAGGAAAGGCGAGAAGATCGGCACCATGCTGCCCATGCAGAGCGTTTACAGAGGAATCACCTCCCACGTCCACGTCCAGATGTGCGACAGGAGTGACCCCACGCCGTACTTCTGATCCACTACGGAGGACCTCTGTGACACCTGAGCTCTTTAAATGTAGAAACTAATAAAATGTAAAGAGCAGTTTGTTGTGTTTTAATCTTTAGGAACAAGGAAACAACACAAACCTACTGAGGTTTAATATAATCAAACTTCACACCAGTCGGAACAAACATCATTTATCACAGCTTTGCTGACGACACTCAGGTATACACATAATAATAAAATCTTTTTTTAACAGAGCACTTTCCAAACCAACATTTCAAGTCATAAAAGTATTGATTTAAAACTATTTCCACCAGTTAAAACATGAAGGCAACATTTAAATTATACTTCAAATAAAATAATGTAAATCAGGGAAGGCTCTTCGATAGAAATATGTTTTGAGCCAGTTCTCATCTCAGGGCGTCATATACCGACGATTTGAGAAAGAGTGACAAAGTGTAGTTATTTGACTGAGTGAGACGCTCTGGGGCGTCCCGTACAGACCGGAAGTGCTAGCTAGCTAGCGTTAGCTACGTTCTTGATAAAGGTGTTGACAGCCCCCTGAAGCCCGCACCCTTACCACAACCATCAGAAATATTAGTGCCTAAACCTAAGTCACTGAATTTAAGCATGTTAACCAGCTGATGTGCTAACAGGTAGGGTTAGCCTCCCTTGTGTTGCTGCAACGTAGCAAACGGGGGCGTTTCATACGGACGCTGAAGGGTACCTTTAGAGTAAAATCCTTACGCTTTGTCAGTTATGATGCATTGAGATGAGAATGTGTTGGTTTTAATGGGAGAATAAAAAGAGTTCACTGATTCAGAGCCTCGGCGCCCAGGCTGCAAACTCGCCGTCCTCTCTGGAACAAATAAAAGCCGGGGTCGTCCAGGACGAGCTCAGTGGAGCCCTCAGGCTTTGACCTCACTTACAACCTACTCGACTGCCAAAAACATGTAGGTAAAGTTAAATGATGAGTTTTATTTGCCCCAAAGTGTGATGTATATCTGAAGACCAGAGCTCTCACTCTTTCTTCATCACATCATGACAATGATCAAATCTGAAGTGAGGAGTTTGAGTCATTTTGGATTCAAGTCTCAAACTCACATCAGCAGCATCAATAAATGCACACGACCAAAGCTCGACGCGTCTCGGCCTGATGTGATGCTGAAAAACTGATTCACTGTCTTCTGGGCGGGGCCAAAGGTCGCATGGGGCCGGCTTACACCACCCCGTTGAGCGCCAGCGCTCCGATGACCAGCAGACTGCCATCCAGGCCAAACAGCTTGGCGAGCTCGTGCTGCAGCGTGGCGTACAGGAAGCTGCCCACGCTCGCACCTGAGAAAGACAGACAGCCAGAGACTGACAGCTCGACACGGCAGTTCATGCTGTTCTGTCTTAGGGTTAGTGACGTAAGACGCTATCAGCAAGAGACGCCACTGTCACGTGAACATCTGCGAAGAGGGAGTTTAGTAAACAGAGGGAGAGGGCGGACAGGAAGTGACATGGTCATGTGACACATGTACCTGTGGTCCCTATCCCCAGGGCCAGGACTCTCTTCTAGTCAAAGTACAGACAGGTGATGGTGAGGGTGGCGGCGTACAACAGAGCAACGCCGACACCTGAGACACACAAGAGGTGAAACCAGTAAACCATCACCATGAACACTGTAGTTTATTCTGACTCAGTCCCAATCACAGGAGGTGGTGTGTGTCTGTAATGATGTTTTTTCTGACATTAAAGTTGAATTGAACTGAACTGAATGTCGTTTTCCAGGAGTAAAGGAAATGGTAAAAATAAGTCTGGATCTGCATTCGATTGCTCTTCCTCAAGGACCTGAATGTGTGTTTCAGCAAAACTGGATCTCAATAGTGAGAACTAAATGTGAAAGTATATAGAGAGTTGAATTTTCAGTGAGGATCAAATACAGTTTCAGAGCAATTCAATTCAATTATATTCAGTTTCAAGTTTATTTGAATTAAGTTAAAATATTTTTTTGAAATTGTGCGATTCAGATTTAATTTTTTAATGCAATTATTTTAGTTAAACCAAATTCAGTTCTATGCAATTATTGAAGTTAACACAATCAGCTGCTAATATAAATGACTCATATTCTGTTTCTAGTGAGACATTTCTGCCCATCATTGTGTAATCTCTTTGGTTAATTTAAATATGACTTGTAGAGTTCATTGGGCAATAATCTCACATGGAAACTGGGCACCAAAGTATCTGTGCTGGTTTCACACTAATGTCCTGGAAGATCCATGCTGACTGCCTCATCCTTAGTGATCTTCTGGCAGGATCTGGAAACGTTTGCCTGTCTGCCAACAAAAATGTAGCCAGGCCGCAAATCTATGCTGTATAAAGGTCCAACACTTGATGATGTAGTTGGACTTCAGAGCCACACATCCATCTGGGCTGGTGAGACTGGAAAGCAGTACTTGTTCCACTGTAATGTCCTGCCAAAAGTTGAGACCAAACTTTAGTGATCCACAAACTGACAACAAAAATGACTGTTTATGCTGTTTGTTCAAGCAGCTTTTTACATTTACTGTGGCGGCGACCTCTAGTGGCTAAAGGAGGAAGTCATGTGACATTTATTTATCTATTCATCTGTTGTGTAGGTCAAAAAAGACCTATTTTGTCGCCATGTTGGAGGACATGTTGGTAAATATGCAAGCCAGTAGTAAACCTCTACAGTAGTGTCTGGAGAAACATCAGTTTCCAGGACCCACCTGGCACTTCCTGCTCAGTGTGTCTTCCTCCATAAACATCCCATCGCGCAGAGCAGGACAGTCACTCCAACCCCCAGAACGGAGCCTCCCAGCGGCAGCCCGACCACCTCGGAGTACTCTGGAGAGGCAGAAACGCTGGTTATGTGATGGACACACAAGGTTGCACATTTTGTTACTGGACAGTTGCTAGTGTAGAGGAGCGCAGGAACAGAGGGGAGAGAAAGAGTTTGACACTAGAACAACGATGTTGCTGCTGGGAGTTTGGCTTATCTGTATTGCTGCTGTTTGGATTGTGTCACTTGCTTATAATACTAACATTATATTAATGGTAAGATGTCCATAAGAACATTGCAACAGTTGTGGTTGCTGTAATTGTTCTGGCTGTGAAGAGATCCCATCCTAAAGTGATTCCAGCACGGTTTGTGTTGAAAAGTGGTGGGATTTTACTCCGCTGTGTTTTATGTTGTGTCTCTTCTCTTTGTTCCTTTCTCTGTGCTGGAGTTCTTTAAAGAGCATTATGGCTTCATCCAGTTTGTTATTAAACTTGTTATGAACTTAAACTATCATCACACAAGTTTAGGCCCCGGCAGTTTGGTGCTGCATCGCTACGATGAGTGGGTACTATCACGTCTAATGGAAAACAGGGGCATCACAAGCGAGTCGAGTTGAGCCGGGACCGTGCCGTGAAAAAGTGGCTAAAGCAGTAATTTTATGATCCTTTCCTAAACTTAACCAAACCTTCACCGGCTGAGAGAGACGTCACATCTACTGCTTGTGGATCTAGATTGACAAACTGTGTATTTTGTTATTTTCCTTTGGTGTACTGGTACCCAGGTGCAGAAGCCGAGGCTCCTGCAGCCCCACGTGCTCCACCACGCAGCTGATGTTTTGCCCCGTCTTCAGGCTGTGTTCCAGGTGGGAATGGATCTGGTAGCGCCAGGCCCCACCAGGCATCTCTGTAAGAATCACACCTGGGGGGTCTGGTATGGGGACACCATCCCTCAGCCAGGACAGTCTGATCTGCCGGGGGTAGAAGTTGTAGGCACTGCAGACCAAAACCACTGAGCCTCCACCGCTGCCAGACCTCACTGTCTTCAGCCTGGTGACAGGAGGCACTTTAGGAGGAAAATACTGTTAGCAGCTTCACAACTGACCCGAACAACAAAGGCTAAAACACAAGTAAAGCAGTTGTGTTGCTAAATGCCCCAGAGCTGCTAGAAGCATAGCTACCCATCAAAATCCACTGAAGATGCAACTAATGACTTTTGTTATTTTGATGAATAAATACATAGTTTTGTGTATAAAATAGAAAATCCTCGGTTCAGCCCAATGCGATGTCTTCAGATGTCTTGTTCTGTCCAAGGACAGTTTGACCTGCAAACTGGAGGAGCTGGGCATTGAACCGCCAATCTTCCAACTAGTATAGAGGCCCCTGTTGATTAATTAATTAATTAATGTTTAGATTGTTTCATTGGTCTTTTAAATTATTGGATGGCCTTGCCATCTTAATGCCTGTTAGGTCACATGTTGACTATTCCTGCAGTCAGAACTAAAAAGGACTACAATTAATGATTATTTTAATTATGGATGAATCTGCTGATTATTTTCTCCATTCTGAAAATAGTGATAAATGTAGTCCCAGTTACTCAGAGCCCAAAGTGACGCCTTCACAATGTTAGTTCTGTCAGTCCAAACCTGAAAATGATTAAAGCAAATCATCCTGCTTAAACGAGGAGGAAGAAGAGCCCGAGGAGAGGAGATCTAATAGTACAACATTTTCCTGATTATACTGAACAGACTGAAGTTCATTTCCTGCATTTTGGAGACATTTTCTGCACCATTTTATGGAGGAAATGTCTTTATTTATATGAAGGGAAACAAAATTAAGGTAATTAAAAATATCAAAATGTAGTAATATACTATATAATAATAATAATAATAATAATAATAATAATAATGTTTTCCTACTGTGCCTTGTTTCATTTGTTATTTAATATTTCTTGTCGCTGTTGTTCAGAACATTTTCAACAAAAGCTTCCAAAAAGTGCTGGAGACATTCAGATTCTGTCCCCAGCGTCCCCAGTATAAACCACACCTGTCTGTCAGCACTGTTAAATGTCCCGCCCCATCCAGGCTGTGATTGGTCGGTTCATGAAAAGTGACGAGCAGCGCGAGCGAGAGAAAAGGCAGGAGGAAAGTGTCTGTAAAGGCTGTAACATTACAGAGATCTTCCTGATCCAGGGACGTGGAGTTCCTAGTGGCAGGGCTGCCCTCGCAGCACATCGTTTCTACGTCTTAATAAAAGTGCTCACGTGTTTGTTTGAGGAAAATAAAGAGCTGCGAACTCGTTTCAGGTGGACGCAGTTACTCAGAGCTTCATGATGAGGAACATAAACCCAGTCAGAGCTCTGAGGAGAACCAACTATCCAGAGTGGGCCTACAGAATATTTTAATCCTGTTGCCTTAATTTATTCTTTGCTCTTTGTTTCTAATGCAGAACATTTATTACAGCTTTACTGCTGTTACGAATAAACAGAGTTTCTGATGCAGCACTTTCATTATGTTCAAGAAGAAGGAAAAGAACTTTCCACAGCCTTATCAGACCTAAAGATATATTAGTACATTTAAGCTCCTTCAATCATTAAAAACAACATAAATGTGGCTAGTAAAAAAAATAAACTAGTAACTTTGGTAAATCACAGGTGAGCAAAAAGTTAATATCAAGCCCTGATGATGGTATATATATATATATATATATATATATATATATATATATATATATATATATATATATATATATATATATATATATATATATATATATATATATATATATATATATATATATATATATATATATATATAATAAAGTATTTCCTTGATTACCTGCTTTGCCCCGAATGGTTCTGTAGATCAGGTCAGCTTGGATTTTGCAGTAGTAGTTCAGGTCGTTTCTCCTGACTCGCAGGTAGTGAGTGTCATTATTTACAATGTCTGCAAACACTTTTCCATACTCTGTGAATCCCACCACCTTCTCTGTAGAGCTGTTGTACAGTGCCTGCAGTCGGCCGTTGTACTGGTACTGAATTTGGTACAGCACGTCACACTGTGAGCTCCATCTGCGGTCACTTCTGTAGAAAATAATATGACATACAGAGAAACTATCAGTCAACGTTTAAACCGCTAAAGACCGAGCAGCAGCTGTTTTGTTTGATCCGGTGTGAACGTGAGCAAAATAACCAACTGAGGCAGAACTTCATTCAGGAGCCAATCAGCTGACTGAGAAAACCGTCCGCCGACTACCTGAACTCCCAAATGCCAGTGAGTACAGAAGAACTTACAACACTTCGTTATAATGTTTTCTAATTAGTTACTGTGGCAGTATTTTGTCATGTTAAAGAACTCAGTACCTTTGAACCACCAAATGTATTACCTGTTTGTTGCAGAAGTAAACAGAGAAGAAGCAGGACACACAGACGCTGCTGATCCATGTTCATCAAAACAAAGTGAGAGCTCAACCAATCAGGGCACAGCTTGGAGAAGAGTCACCTGTTGATAGGATGGACTTCTCTCTGAAGCCAGTGGTGCTTTCTAATCCTGCCCAGAGCTGGGATGAAAGTCCTTTATTATATTATATATATATTATTACTTGTTCTAGGCTTCAAAGTAATTTAGGTTTCTTCTGGGAGATATATATATATATATATTAGATATTTAACAGCGGCAGGCCAGCTGCTCTGCCTCTTATCATCATGTGCAAACACACAACAGCAGATCTACGGTCTCAGCCTAATGTCGGTTCACACACAGCTGCAGTAAGAGATGCACAGATTAGGTTTTCCTGGCTGATTCAGTTACTGATTTTTTTAAAAGGTCTGACCTGCTGTCTCTGATTTAGGCAAATTTTATTTCTTTTTAAGATCTATAACTGACAACATACACAAACATTTTTCTAACTATTTATTGGAAAAATCTATTTTTATTAGGATCCCCATCAGCACCAGTATAAATGGTCTTATTTATTATAAAACAGCGTTTTCACCGGAAGGAGCTGAAAATAAAGTGAACACCATTTTAATTCTACTTAATTTGTGTTTAATCACAAACTACAGTAATCTGCTCACCTGGCTTTTCCCCGTCAGACACACCTGCACCTGTCTGTCTGCTCTGACTTTATGACTTTATGATGAGCCGCGTGTGGAGGCGGCTTGTTGTTGGTCCCACGTGGTCTGAATGACGTCGTGACCAACAGCTGTGTTCACTGAGTCTTCACCTGCTCCCTGCTTTAAACATCCATCGCGTCTCTTTCTGGGTTTCTCTGCAGATTCAGGGAGCTCTGCGTGAATGACTTCCTCACACCTGAGACATGTTTAGCCTGTGTGTGTCTGTGCACACCTGTGAAACACCTGTGAAACACCTGTGAAACACCACGCAGCCTGTGTGTAACGTTCAATGTCACCAGCAGGAAATTGGATATTTGACCCCGCCCCGGTCACCGGTCAGAGAGTGAGAGAAGGAAACGGCCTATTTCAGTCTCCAGCTGACTAATCTGCGCATTTCTATCTGTCAAAGGCGACTTACAATCAAACAAGTTACCAAACAAGCTCGGGTAATGTTACAATAAAAACAGCATCATCTGTATTAAAGACAAAAGAATCAGTTCTTCCAATGTTTAAAGTGCATAAAACAGCCCTGCAGCCTGCTGAACATTACTGGAGCTCCACAACTACTGACGGACTTGAACTGGTTTTCTCCCACCGGACTGCTGGGAGGGGGAAAGCTGTGGACCAAACCACCGTGGCAAAGAGAGGGGGGGGACTCAAAATGTTTCTAAACTTAAAACGAACTTTAATTGCTCAGTTTGCGTTGGTATTGTTGTACTATTTACACAGTTATTCTAAGTATATATCATTATATTATTGAATGGTTTTTAAGGGGGGGGGCACCCCTCAGTCAACTTGATCATTTTGGAGGCTGCTGTTGAACTAGATTGTTTTATGCTGGTGGGCGTGGTTCAGCAGGAGGTCGCAGTGCACACTTCTGCTCTAAGTACATGTTCATGAGTTTAGAAGGTGAGATATGTTAGTTTTGTAGAAACAATGTAGGCTGCTAGTTTTGCATTGAAAGACAGAGGCAAATTAAATCAAGCAGTTTAAAAAGACAAAGTTAAAAAGAAATAAGATTCCACAATAGTAATACAGGATAGAAAGAAAGATTTGGACCACGCCTTGAACTCATTCACCTGCCCTTGACACTGTATTCCCATCCTTCCCACCTGAACCTCTTTCCTTCTCTCTCTTTGTCTGCCTCCCTCAGTCCTCCCTCCAGATCTGTTCCTCTCATATCAGCTCAGCTGTATTACATGCAATAAACTGTTCTGAATCTACATCTTGCAGGCATGGTCTTTGTTAGTGAAAACTAATAAAAGGCTGTTTTGTAAGTGATTAAGAAGACGTCACCAATCCTGCTTGCAGGCTCATAGGGGAGCAACAATTCAGCAATATAGTGGGAGCAGAAGCATGAAGCGTTTTAAAAGTGATCAATAACGTCTTAAAATCAATTCTAAAACTTACAGGTAACCAGTGAAACAGGTCTGATGTGATCTTGTCTTCTATTGTTTGTGGAAAGTAGAGCAACTGCATTTTGTTTCAGCTGAAGTTGTGAAATAGTTTTATAGCTTTTCCCTGAATAAAATGAATTACAATAACACACATTAGGGTTAGGGTCAGGAAACAAAGCCAGACACCAACACCAGAGACAGACCGTGACCAAAAAAAGCTCTGACACATTCAGAACTACTATGTTTTTAATAGAATTTGCATCTTTGGCCTCACATCTATGTTCATGGAAATTGATGCTCTTAGAAGATTGTTGTTGGATGTAATTTAATACTTTAATGTCAAAATATTTTAGCACTGTGTAGTTGTACACATTTTCCAGTATTACGTTATGATGGTCAATTAGAGAATTTACCAACAGTCATTTGAAAATCTAATCACAGCTGCAGCAGAAGAAGTCTCTCTTCTTAAACTGATGATATCAAAAGATAAGAAATCTCACTTTGAGTTAGGTTAATAAACAACTTTTTAGGTTATGGTCTTGCCAATCTTGTCTAAAAAGAGACGACACACAACAAAGGAAATGTTGGATGCAATCTTCAGTATAGATCGATATAACTGAGAATAAAATGTTCTACTGTGCAAATGAGCATATGAGAAAGTTGTAACTTGGTAAACATGTTAAAAAGTCTTTGTTCGTGTTGCGGTCTGGAGATTTTACCCAGCAACCCTGTGGTATGCAGCCCGCCAGCAGTCAGACAGCTGACGTCGGAGGGAGTCGTTAGCAGAAATGATGAAGATGACAACTCCAAAAGTGAGACAGACGAGTCCCAAAGAAAGACACGCCCACGCTGCTGCAGAACCCACCGACCTGGAAGGCAGCTCTGGTGGAGAGCAAACAGTGTGATTCAGAAGTTGTTTTTAGCAAATATTCATAACTCCCTCAACAAAGACACTCTGCTGGGACTTTTCCACAACAGGAATTTAGCGATCTGGAACCGGCAGCTGTGTTTTATAAACCAGGACGTGCATCTTTGACACGTGTTGCCTTATGGCGTTATTTTTTCAGCCATTGCTTGTCCATCATTTGTTTTATAAGCCAAGTTTGCCGTTTTGTCTCTTTCAGATGATTCTGTTTAAGTAGCAGCTTGTTTAGAATATTTGTTACCTCCTGCATTTTGTTGTGTTATGTCCATTTTCAGATTACACGCAAAAAAACCATCTCTATGAATTGAGAATTTTACAGTCTTTGTGCTTAAATTAAGCTCAATGTACAGAATCTCACAAAGTGAGTCCACCCTCACATTTCTGTAAATATCTGATTCTATCTTTTCATGTTTCAACACTGAAGAAATGATTCTTTGCTCCAGTGTAAAGTAGTGAGCAGCTTGTATAACAGCGTAAATCTGCTGTCCCCTCAAAATAACACATCACACAGCCGTTAATGTCTAAACCGCTGGCAGCTAAAGTGAGGACACCCTTGGAAAGTGTATCATGATTTAATAGGACAGAACTGAGGGTTGCCTCCTATAGGCTTACTTCCAACTTAAGAACTACGTTTAAGATCTAAGTTGTCCTGGTTATGTATAAATCCCACCCTTCACAATATTTCTGATATGCTACTGTATTTACTCAACAATACGCCAGCACGACAATGATCTTAAACACACATCACAAGTCGTTATGGATGGCTAAACCAAGCTTTTTAAATGGATCCCCCAAAGTCTTGATCACAGACCTCGTTGAAATTTCTGTGGACTGGCCTGAAGAGGTGAGTGAATGCAAAAAAACCCCCCAACAAATCAGACTCTACCAATTCTATCACGAAGAGTAATCAGAAGAGAGTTCTGCCATAAGCGTGTTGATGGATACCAAAGGCAGCTGAAAGAGCTGAAGGGAAATGTGACCAAATACTAGCTGTGTTGTGTGTTTTATTACTGTATTGTTGTATTTTCTGATGACACGCAATGAATTTGTTTCTGAATGTTTTCAGTAAAAAGAGAAGTGTGTTTTCCAATCATTCTGTAAAATAACCCCCGCAACAACACACATGTATAACCTTTGGACCTCAACATTGCAGTATATTTCCAGAAACCCTTGGATCCTTCTCACCCCATGTTTTGGTGACAGGGCGGCTCAGGGCTTGATGCTGCACGCTGCAGCCCAGCACGTCGTCTGTCTCTGGATGGAAAGAGAGGCTGGCCAGCTGACTGAAGGTCCCGTCTGTCTCAGGGTGGAGGTTGCTGAGGGCCACACCTTCTGTCACCTGGACACCATTCTTGGTCCAAGTGATATTGGCGGAGGGGGGGTAGAAGTGACTGATGTAACAGTAAAGGGTGTTCTCCTCCCCCTGTTCTGTCTCCTCCATGGGATAGATGAGCACTGTCGGGGCTTTGGAAAAGAGAAGGACATGGTTTATTAGAACATTAAGCCCTCACAGTGTATGTCCCCACTATTAAGACGTCACGGCACCATTTTGACAAATCATGGTCTGTATTTATATAAATGTCTCATCAAATCAGCACTGAGTGTCACTGAGCGACGTGTTTTTTTTATCTTGCTCTTATGTCACGTTCCAGGCAACTCGGAAATTTCCGACCTCCAACTAGAAATAAACACAGGAAAAAAGGAAAGAAAACATTCACACAAGAGTAAGTATTCTTGTGTGAATGAAAATAACTCGGAAAGGAAATAATAACCCCAAACCGTGACAATTTAGACAAAAAACAAATACTATTTGAGACAGACTTTGTGTGATATTTCTGCAGAAACTGACGTCCTCACATTTCACATTTTTGGGAGTCAAAAATGAGGCTTTTGCACATCATAATGTCCATGATAATTGTTCTCAGTGAGAGTGGACTAAAACTTACTTGAACTCAATCAATCATGTCCCTTTGGCTGGATGTCACCAGCATCATTAAAGGTATCTGAACTTATTATTACTTATTTTACATTGAGGTTGTAGCTGAAAGTAAAACTGGAACAGAAGAGAATATTATTGTTCTTCATGGAGTGGTGACCAGAGTTTTGGTGTGTGCCACTGCAACATACCGGGCTGAAGCACTGTCGCTGTGACTGTTTGTAGTCCTGGTTTGGCTCTCAGCAGGATTCTTGGGAGTGATTTTCAGACTGTTGGATAAATACAGTATTGCTGGAATGTTCAGTGTTTTGACTTAAAGTTGTACTGCAAGTTTACAGGATTGGAATAGATTTTTGGTGGTGACAACATGGGCCTGTATTTATCAGGGCTCTTACACTTCCTCCTAGGAACCATGCTGAGAGTTAAACAGTCCTACCTCAGAGTATTTGTGTCTCTGAGAATAACTGGCTAGTTAGATGGTTGATGAAGTGGTTCCTATTACACTGAATTTACAGGCCTTAATTTTGGTAGGGTATAGCTTTTGGATGAGCTGCACAGTTTCCTTTGCTAATGATTCCTCTTGAACCACTATGGCTATCACAAAAATCCCTACTATCTAAATGTGTTGTCCAGGAGACCCCCCCACCCACTATGTGTGGAGTAAACAATGTGTCTTCTCTTTACCCTTTTCTTCAGTGGGACTCCTGTCGATCTGCATAGCTTTAGAGAGATAGTGTTTTAATAGTCTCTCCCTGCTAACAAGAGCCAAAACGTAAAACCCGCTTGACAGCACATCCTTCAGCTCCTCAAGCAGTGGTGCTGTCCAAACTGCTTGTCCTTTCTTGAAGTCAGCATATATCGCCTGGTCTCCATCCCAATGCATTTGTACCTGACAGTCACCAAACTCATGGCAGCCGTAGAACATTGTCCCTTCATGAAGAGCTGGAACAGGAAAACATGAAAGTATCCAGATGAAACTTTGCTTTGGTGACAGTTGGATTTAATGACATGGTAAACAATTCTCCTACAGCACAGTGCTATGGGTAATGAAAAATATAGTTATGGTTATACAGGTGTAACGGTAGCTATGACTATGACAGTAACTGGCTGGTTTCTCTTTGCAGCACTAAAGATATTCGATCCAGTTCAATTTTATTTAGGGCACATTCAGCCCAGGAAAGTCCGCTGGTTCACTTGCTTTGGTCCAGATTCGTCTCATATGAGTTATCAGTTATCACTGTAATTAAAGATCTGTATTGATTACAGCTGGGTCTCTGTACAGTTGTTTAGTCTGCACCCAAGTGCATTACTGTATTCACACCTCCCCAAAAATCGGCCCCAAGGAGAGAAACAAGTTTGATTCAACTGAATCAAAGAAGACAGGTGTGAATACACTCTTACATGGCGCCAAACAGACAGTTATTAAGTTGATGTTGGTGAGTGGGAAACTACTGGCTGTGTGTGGGACGTGAAATCAGGTGGAGGCTATTGTTATAGATGAACAAATAAATATTACAAAGGGTACAGTCTGGACCTTACATGAAAAGTGCATGTGATAACTTCTGTTATAACAACAACAATAATATAGTAATACATTTTATTTCTATAACGCTTTTCAGGACACCCAAAGACACTTTACAATAAAACCAGTAATTTTGTGCATTTCAAAATAGATAAAATACATAAATAGAAGATACATGTGTGTTGTAAAACCACAAATACATAAAAGCATATATATACATACATAAAATAAGTGAAACATCAGCTGAAGATATGATTGTAAAACAAGTTAACTGAGGTTAGTCACTAGTCTAGTTGTAGCAGTAAAAGCAAGATAGTGGATGGCATCTTATGTGACAAATGAAGTGCATCTGACTTTTAGTTTCACTTTTACAGAATCTTTCTTTTGAAGTTTTTAGATA